CAAAAAATAAGGCTTATTTGGATTAGTATTGCAATAAGCTTTCCTAAATTCACAATGAATTTTAGCCTCAATTCGATTACATAATCGGAAAATCTATTGAGGTGACCAGAGTCAGAAAAACTTATTTCTTGTACAATCCTTGCACCAAGGAGGAGATGCAAATAGATGAAGGATCTGAAGGATTTGTTGAAATCAAACAGTAAATTGAAGAGGGCAATCAACACAAAGTTCTTACTATGGAAGTAATTTTTGTCATTTAAATTTATTAAAGGAGAAAATATACAAAACTCATATTTGTGACAATTTGCCAAATGGAACCACTAACGAGGCCTTGCCTGCATAATATGTCAAAGGAACTTAAATCCATAATTATTCTGTGGATCCCAATTGTTAGGCTGCCAATTTCATTCAATCGAAAGCCTGGAGTACTGACAGCGATGACAAAGCCATAGTGACTAACCCCAGAATCGCTGATTCTGTTAAATAGATTCAACTCCAGAATCACACTAATAGAAATCTACATGTTATCTTAGAAATCAAAGGTGAACCCAATCCTTGCCATTACATTCCCAAATCAAAAATCCAATCACTTATGAGTTCTAAGAGTTCGACCACAATGTTCACAGCAATTAAACACAATTGTACTTAAGAATTCCCGCCTCTGCAATTGACATTAGTGCATAAAAAATAAGAACCTAGACAAGACTCTTACCTATATTTATCGTCTTAGGATGAAATGAATTTGGAATTATTATGATATATATATAAAAAATATATATAATATGATTTGAATCAAGATTATTTGTACTGATTGAATAAGGAGTATAAAATATATTAAATTTCGTTTGTTTAATGATGTACAAAAGTGGGGGGGTCTTTCGACCTCTAAAAATTTATGTAAGTCACCGGTATGAGCCCAACCCACGGTAATCTTTAGTAAAAGGCGAAAAATTAGCACGTTATAGGGTGAGCTCGGTGATGAATGACTTATATATTAATTGTAATTTTCTTAAATATTAAATCAAATTTTATAGTTTTATGGGTTTTAATTAAATATATATATAAATTAAATTTCAAACTACATAATTTCTTCCTTCCCTTTTTTTTTATTGTTTTCCTTTATAGAAATTGTGTGATTCAGTACCAACACTTTCCTCGTAAGAAGAAACACTAAATCTGCAGCGATGTGGCTTTTGTTTAGTTATAACATGAAAACCATTAATTTACTATTCAAAATCGATAAGAGAATCAGTCATATAACTTCTACTGTTTTCGTTGATATTTGAGGAATCAAGCATGGGATTTTGCAAATTCTTCTATTCAGCTGCCTCAAAATCCACAAAGTTAAAAGCTTGTTAGGTTTATTTTTTCAAGGCGGACTTACCCCTAACAGATTAATTCTGACTGTATTCGCGATGAGTGGATTAAGGAAGGTAGATCACAGGACATTAATTGGGACTGTCATCGGTTTCATCCTAAAACTTAAGTTTCCTCTGTCCTCTGACTGTAATGTATTTAGTAGCTTCCAATTGTATATACTATTCATAATTCTCCTATTCCAAAGACACTTAATGCTGACAACCCTCCATCTATTAGTTAGTATCATTATATTCACTCTCCTCTTCACTATCATAGACAAAATACTTCTTTTTGAGACTATTAGGAGAAAGGATATTATTCTATATCTTGGCAATTGTTTTGATGGCATAAGTTCTGAGAGTTCGGTATATCATCAACAAAAAGAGATACTCCTAGAGAATATTGAAGTTCCCTTTGATGTGCATCTAGTCATAGATATGTTCCCTTCTATCGAGGATATCCTTAGAAATATTACTAAATTTAATACTATTCTTTTGTAATGTAATCTGAAACGTACGTCTTTGTCGATTTGTTTAATAGCCTCTATGCTTTCAGGTGTTCCTGTTCTGAAGATTTAGTTTCTATACACAAATCGAATGGTTTCATAGAGAACCTCTTAAAAGTGGATGTACCCATTCTGATCCGCTCTAATTTTGAAATTGGAGGCACTTTTGGCTGCATCCCAAATGTTGTCTCCAATGGCTGACCCTAGAGGAGGTCCTAGTTCTAGTAAAAAGTTAGCTAGATGTTTGGAGTGCATCTATTTTCCTTTGGTTTCAGATGAGTACTTACACCAAACTGTTCTGAAGGGATCGATGTTTTCGATATACGTTTACAAAACACTATTTTGAGAATGGAAAAACTCTTAATAATACTAAATATTAAGTACTTTCGAATTGATCAACCAATGCTGTAATGAATAGATTAAAAGCTACAAAACTAGATAACAGGAGAAATGTATAAAAGTAAGTACTTGCGAATATCCAACTGGATCCACATTCCTCTGATTCATGTTCTTGACAATGCTTATTCCTGTCTGATACGTCAATCATCACTCTTACCCAATTGTTTTTAGTACATGCTTTAAATAACACAATTAGGGCCTTTCCAATATTTGAAAAATTCATATACTCATTAATGTATTCTCCCTTCTCTACCTTACCAAAGAATTCGCAACCTATATAACCATAGAACAAGAGTATTGAGATCAAAAAACAAAGAATCTGGAATAAGAAGGATGCTGAATAATTCAAAATTCTTAGTAATCTTGTCAATCCTCTGAATTATTAGATGATGAGAAGAGTTCTCAGGTTTCTCAATGCAAATGCTAATCTCACAAAAATGAAATAATATTCATTTATTGTGTAATAATAATAATACTTCGTCCAATCATAACTTAAATACATGATTAAGTCTACTAGGGCAATAAAACTCAAAAAGAATTCGATTCTTCTCCAGCTAAATCCCCAATACCTTCTCAATCCAAAAGCGAGAATTTTCAAATAGGTATCAAAAATCAAAAAACACGTCAGCAATTGATAAATGTACTCTAATTTCTATTACATTTGAATGGTTGCAGAATCATAAAAGAAAGTTAGAATTGCTAATCATATGATATTCAACATTACCTGTATTAAATAATATGGTCAATAGAATTAATCTTTCATAGGATGGCTATTTAACAATGTCTGATGCCAGTCTTCTCAAAAACGTATTTGGAGGATTACTATAATTGGGCACCTCCATTAGAATCATCTTTGTAACATCTGCGAATAATTGCTGATCTTTGGTCAATATTTACTTCTGCAAAATAAGTTTATAAGTTTGAAAATTGATAAATAGAATTCCTGCAAAAAATCCCATGAAGAATAAAACTCCCACTAGAATGAATAGAATAAAATAAATAAATGTTATCCATCTATTCCCATAAAGAATTGGACCCAAATCTTCACTTCTTGAATTCAAACACACCTAACAAATGTATACCCATTCATCACATGCCGTTATTCTGAATAAAGTCAACATGGCATTCCCTAGATTGTCAAAATTATAGAGATGAATAACCCAAGGGTTCCCTTCCTTAATGCATTCTTCCTTGTTGACTCCAAAATTTAACGGATGTTCACAATATCCCATTTTATCTTTGTATATTATTATTCCAAATATTGCAAAAATCAACCACACCATCAATTGAACAAATAGAATGTTTATCAAATCTACTATAGACTTTGATATCGCACTATTTATATACTTTAACTCTTCGAACAAATACAAAAATCTAAATGGTCTCGTGTATTTCAATATCTTAACATACTTAAAGGCTGAATAGTGGAGAATACAATTTGCAAAATAGCATAACTGATATATGAAATCTATTAATCTCCAAAATTCACTTGTAAATGCTCCTTTCTCCTGAGTAAACCCAAGTGAGATTATTTTCAATATAGAATCAATCAATAAAATAACATTTACTGCTGATTCTATATCTTCAGAAATCACTTAATATTGATGATTGCCATGTTCATGATCATCATCGTAGTAGGTATAAAAACACATGTTTATCAATGATATAAAAAATATCATCTAAATAAAATGAATGTAAATTGAATAATGGATAAATCGATAACAGAATTTCCTAAAATAGTTTTCTTGGCTAAATATGAACAAAGATAATTGACTCTCATTATTTGAAAAAAATTAAAAATCTTAGAATAATTTATCCACCAATTTATTAATGGTATCCACTAATTAAAATAATTGTTTCTTGTCCTCTCCAGGTTTACTTTAATAGTAAAATCTGGTCAACTTTGTACTCTATAGCATTTTTGTACTCACAATTTGGTCTTCCATCAAACCCTTTTCCTTTTATTCACTTTATAGAGGCTGCTATTATTCTTCTTTTTCGGAACTAATCGAACTGTTTAATGTGACTTCATTTGTATTCAAAATCTTTAAATCCTCCGAAATTTCAGTATCAACTTAATATTAATCATCCTTATGCTAGTCTTCATCATGATTAGAGAATGTTGAAAATGCATCTAAAATAATTGCTAAAATCGATCCAATTGTCATCAGATTTAACACATAGACTGAAATAACCCCGTAAAACATTGTTGGTATTTCATAACTATACTGAGATCCCATAATCATCATTCCTATCCAATCATCATTAGCTGCTCTTATAAAGACAGTTAAAAAGGCAGCCTGGATGTCATCAAAAGATTAGGATAATCCAAGATCTGTGTCTAGTGGAAATTTATTTTTATATAAATTCATTCCTATGAAGGCAAATATAAACATCAAAGTAACCATCAATAATATCAAATTACAAAATGATGGGAGTGATTTCTTAGTGATCTTCGCTATTTTGACAGCAAATGAATTATATTTAATTATTCTATACACCAAGAATGTTTAGAATGAACTCAATAAATCAAGATATAAATTCTCCTCTTCCAAATTCTACATCACCTCTACTGAGGTTATGAAAGCACAAGTTAAAATAACTGTATCAATTATATTAGTAGTTAAAGAGCAAAATCGAATTATTCCACATTACAATAATTTTAAAAGTAGTTCAGCTATCAAAATCAAAATAAACAAATCATTTATTTTCTTTATCCTTTACTCATCTACATAACCAATCAAACTTAATAGTAGAATATTAGTTAGAACTACTGAGTCGAAAAACACTTTTACGAATTTATTCTTCAAAATTATCATAGCATACTTTTATATTAAAATCAAATAACCACGTAAATTTGCTAACCAAATGTTAGTATCTTAGTTATTTAATAGTTTAAACAACAACTTCTTGAACTAAACAATATTTTTTGAGTATATGACTTCATTCCCTGACCAATTGTGCCTATAAATAATTGATTGTCTGCATTCTTCCATTCTGAATTATACATAAATATCTTCAAAATCAAGAGGCTATTTTGATGAATCAGGAATCTATCTATTGATTCTATATTTGACTTCCTCGTAATCGCATTCCTCATCATTTATTTTTATTGTATTCTTTTTCTTGGTAATTACAGTAGTCGTTTTTCTAATTGATTTTCTGTTAGGATCGTCATTAATAAGAACTTATTCAGGATTTAAACATTAAGATGGGGATTCATCTTTCTACCTAAGACTGATTTTTTGACTAATAAAATTCTTTTTGAATTCTTATTATAACGGAGTTAAGGGCTTCTTGGGTTTCTATTTTATAGGAAATTTTATTCTTCTCTAAGACAAACTTTTGGTTTCTGAGTTGCCCCTTCTGGTTTCACTGAGATGGTTTTGTTGTTTGACAAAGGAATATTCTGATTTTTTAATGAAATAGTAATGTCTCAAAGCAAATTTCCTTATAAATTCAAATTCTCTTTCCCTCTTTCTCTGTAATTATTAATTTTACTTAAAGACACTGAAGATATCATTTTCTGATGTACTAATAAATACGAAATTCTTATTGACCACACTCCTCCAAGAATGCAATGGATACTACTTAAAGGTTTGTATATAAAATAGTTTGAAGTAATCTTTCTCCAAGCCTTCATTTGAATATAGTTTCTACATAAATTGCTCCTTATTCTAATCCGACAGTATTATGTTGCTTATGGTAAAGTTTTCAATTAAATTATGAATATTGCTGGTCCTGGGTTTGATTCCTCTCTTTCTATTTTTAATTTCCTCCCATTCTCTAGTTTAACGAGCAGATAAAAATTTACATTTATAGTTGAGTACCTTTGGCGGGATCCCATAAAGATTAGTCTTTATTTAAGTCTGCTATTCATCTTTGACTTTGTTACATGTAATTTGTTTCTTATTCTCCAATAGATCTTGGTCTATTTAATAGTTTTTGATGATTCTGAGATTCAGGATGGTATCTTCATTCTCAGAGTTTTCTTTGATTTCTTCGAACTCATATTCTTCCAAAGTTTGTGAATAGTAGATTTTGAGAACAGCGATAATGAGATTGGCTCCGAAGATCCCAATAATGAAAATAATCAGTATATAGTATATCACTGTGAAATCATGAAATGAGAGCATCGATAAATACAGTGGTTCTGTCCATTCATTGAAAATCATGACTCTGACGACCTATTCATAGGAGTAGAAGATGTCGTCAAAATTGGTGGGCACATTGGGATTAGATAAGGATTTGGCGCATATTAATTCATGTTCCTTACATTGCAAATTATAGCCACACTCTTCCTTTGTCTGAATCCCCTCTTCAGCAATGTAACAATGATATTGAAACAAACCCTTAAATAGATGCTAACCAAAGAGGGCAAAAAAGTATGAGAATATGATAACGATAAGTAGGGCTTCGAGTAAGAATTTGATTGAGTGTTTAACTGCAATCAGCATTATTCTCAATCTCTTACTGAAAATACTCATTACAGTAAGCAGTCGAAATAATCTTGCTGTTGAGAAATCGACAACCATAATGTCAGGATAATTGAAATGTAGTATGAATAGTACAAGGATGATGAGATCAAATAAGTTTTATAGATCCCAAATATATTTAAATAATCCTAAACCAATTAGTTTTAATACATTTTCTACTATGAATAAAATGAGTATAACTAAAATATAAAATCTTCTTTACTTTTCTTTTTACTCCTGAGATCATCTTAGACATCTTGACTTAAGGTTTCATCTTGACTTTAGACAAAAAATACAATATTGAATATAATTGACCCAAGTACAAAAATAGTGAATAAATGATGGCTAATAATTTTATAAAGGCTGATATTGATTATCCTTACAACAAGAACAATAGACTTTCTGATTTCACTTAAAGGGTAATCATCCCAATAAAATTTGTAATCATTGAAAATCCACTCAAAATCTTGCTTGCTTTCCCAAATCAAAGGGTAGGGATCATAGATTGGATCTCTCTTGTATTTTTTTTGGTATTTGAAGATTTGACGATCCCATTAAGAAGTAGGATCTCTGAGAGTCTAAGTATTATTCATTTGAGGTTGTTCATAATTCTATTCATCCTCTTCGTCTTCAACAATCTCAGATGATGAGTTTTATGACTATTGGATTGAATCGTAATTATCATTCAATTCTAATTGGAAATCATCCATCAACCTTTTCATTTTATCGCTAATTGGTTTTTGATTAGACTTTTTCGTGAATACGTTTTCCATGATTGATGTCACATTGATATTGGATTGATTCTTTACAATTTACGACTCATGAGCCTTGTTGCCAAAAAACACAGACTCGTTTTGAGCGATGGAATATAAACTAACTTGATCTCCGTCGTTTTTTTTAGGATTTTCACTTCCATAATATTGATTGAATAGAGAGATAAAGGTTTTCCTCACCTTTTGTTTTATTCTTGGTGCCCCATTGGGATTCAAATCCACACATTGCTTCTCCAACTCCTCAATTATTTAGGTGTATTGAGCTTACTCCTAATCAGGCACTCCCACTCTGTCCAATATCTTCACTAAACTCTACATCTCTTGATTTTCAGATGATCCCACAAACTTTGAGGATGCAATAGAATTTTCTTTTCTAAATCGCGTTGACTGTTTTATTTAAGCCAAACTATGAAGATTTTGAGACATTTATTTCATGCTCTTGAAACTTTTGGTGGTCTACTTGAGTTAACTCTTCTAACTTCCTTTCAACACTGATATTTCCTTTTATTGTTTGCTTATATAAATAATCTCAATACCTAATGGTTGACATACGTTAATTTAAAGTCTTGTGTATGAACTCCATTTCTTCATCGATCTCCTTATCAATGTTTTTCGGATCTACAAAAGCCTTTAATTATTTGCTGATTCTGGATTTACTAGATGATCGACTATCCGATGAAAATGACTCATCTTAAAACAGGTCCTAATACTCCCTAAGTAGTTTGTCTCTCTTTTTATTCGACATATTGCTATTGATGGTGGATTTTCTTTTATCATTCCTGCTCACTACAGATAATCTTGAACCCGTATTCCTTGTAATTTTTTATAAAGAAGGAATCAATTAACTGTTCCTGCTCTCTCCTCTCTATAAAGTTCGAATGGGAGTGACCTCTGGACTATTTAAAACATTTTTTTTTTATATTCCAAACTAATCATCCAACCCCTAATTTCTCCTGTCAGATTAAACTGCATTTCTCAGCATTATTATTATTAATAATAATTTGAAATATAATTGTACTCAATGAAATCTTCTAAATTTAGGTTACGTTAACTGTGGACATGCCATTCTTGAGTTTAACTATTGATGTTATTTCCAATTCATTATAATAAATTGATTTGCTCAGAATAATATTTAAACCGTAAAAAATGAAGTGTGCAGATTCGGAATTGGCAATTTCATAAAATTTTCATTTTAATTATTTTAACAGTTAGTCATGAACAAAGCATTTCAGAGAAGTAATCATTAATCACTATAACAGAGCACTCGGACAATAGTATTCTCAAAGGCAAAACACAGCATAACACTCAACAGCGAAGTCCCTTAAGTACCAAAGAAAATGATCACAAATTCAAATATCCTGAAGTTATTCGCAGAAAAGAATCAAAACCTTTGCAAGTGCAAACCAACTAATCAGACATGAGATCACCAAGCGCTTAATCCACATAGTCTCCCATCAATAGTATTAAATTTAATCTATTCCCAAGAGAGCATTCTCATTACTCATCGATCTCAATCAATGTTCTAAGATGCTTAATACATTGATTATATTATCACTAACAAAGAAGTGAATTAATTTCTTAAAAAACACTTCCTACATGAACATATGCATACAAATAGTTCCAGATAAACAAATACTAAATTGATTTGTGATTCCTGGGATAAAGTGCCTGTCACCTATTTTATAAAAGCCTTATTTGATGAGTACCCTGAAATCATAGAGGATCATCATTTGAATGAAAAGTTGAACATCAAATTGAAAACACTCATAAAAGACTTGATTTCTGAAGATGGACAACTCTTATCATTGAACAAACTATAAATCCATACTCGTCATTTAGGATTGCTGGGATTGTTACTGACTGCTCTCAGAGACATTCAAGATGCACCGACTGTGAATCATAATACTCCCCATAATTAATCTATTTCACATGAATAGGAAGTCTCTACTGCAACTTAGTAATAATAATAATAATACTAATCCAAATTTCATAAGATGGCTTCAGAAATAACATCATCAGCCGAAAATAGAATAAATGAATTGGTAAATTTGAAATTGCAACAATTCACAATCAAACAAAAGGAATTGGAAAAATAAATACAATAATTAAAATAGAAGGCCACTGAGAACTTTGATCTATTCCAACATGAAGCCAAAAACAAATAAGTGATCAACAATCTAACCTAATAGTTACAATAGAAAGATCTAATCATAGCAGATCTAGAATAAAAACTCATTAAGAAATGGATGAACTCATCCTTAGAAGAGGAAATGCATTCAACCAAAATTGCATAACCAAAGGCATCACCAATCAAAATTTAGAGTCCAAGCCAATCTCCCTTTAATGACAGCAATCAATACTTATAAAGAATGATTAATAATCTATGCACTGTCTGGGATCTAGGGTGTGTCAATGAGGATTACAGATTTGCTCAAATACTAACAGCATAAGAAAACAATCAAATGCCTTATTAACATTTTCAATTAATTCCGATTATCAAAAACAATCCCTGGCTTCAATGATTTTATTTTTAAATCACAAAATAACAATCACATCATCACCAATTTTATTTAGAATTGCATGAATAATGATAACAATGTCATCTTAGATTTGTATTATGAAATTATCACTCTACTTCCTAATTTTAAAATTAGTGACCAAGATCACTATTTAATAAATGTAATGCAATTATTTCTAAAACTAACCGTTTCAATTTTGTAGATAAAAACCGTGTTCAGTATAAGCAAACTAAAAGAATGGGGTTCCATCAAGAGACAACTCACTGAATAACAGAACTAATTCATCAAGAATTTAATTACTTAGATAGTCCAAATTAATCAATACAGTATTAAGTAGGTGCCCCAATCAAAATTATGGAATCAGCAATAGATTTATCATGACTAGTACATGTCGGAGTATAACAACAAATTGATTGAGAATCAAGTTATTAACAACACTTTGAGAAAACAACTAAATTAGATACACAACAAGCAGAATACAAGGTTGTCTCTCATTATTAGGATTATTCAATGCTTCTATTACAATGATGTTGAAGAATTAATTGGTCTAATGCAATCGATTCAAGGGGAAACAGATGTGGACATCTATTTATCCAAACTCATACTTGATTGCGATTGCATCAACCTAATACTGTTCCCTAGTTTGTTCAATCCCAAATTTGTTCTTAAATCAATCACAAACCTACTTTAATTTAAGTGTCCTGGCTAATTCTATTTATTATATACAAAGTAAGTGTGCTAAATTAGAAATATCGATATATTGATCGAATTATTGACCAAAATGCATAACACTATGAATTCGGATGTTGTTATTAAATTATGGGATGTACTCGGAGCTATTGCTAAGAGTACTGTCTTAAAAGAATGTAAAGAAGGTCTTCAATTTGTAATAAGATTATATTCGAATTCTCATCAAGCCACAATATTACATAATATATAATAAGTATAAAAAAATTTAGCAATCCCAATCTGATTTTATTTTCAAATATTATTATTAAATATATTACAATAAAATGAGTATTTTGAATTAACACTAAAGTGTATTTCCCCATCTCTTGACCATCATCGACAGCATGAGGGTCTACCATGAATCAAAATTGTGGAAGCAACTCAGCGATTAATTGTTGATCTACATCAAGGATCCTCAAGTCAATTAAGGAACTCATTTGAAAGATCTTTTTGAGGGATTTGTTAAGAAGTTTTATCAAGAGATTGACGAGATGAAATTAGTGCGTTTCCTCATTAAGGCTGCAGAATAATACGGAGATTTTTAGAGCAGAATTGATTTCCTCAAATAATTTAAATTGGATGAACAACCCCAATTAGTCATTGACATTTTGATAGCCTTCTTCAAACTCCAATAGGGCAAATTGTAGGAAGTGGATGAATTATTGAAATAATACAAACAAGCAAGTGAAAAATAGTAAGAAGTCGATCCACTTGTTTATTCAATGCTCTACTATTTGGCATACAATTTCTACAAAATCAAGAATGTCTATGAGGAATTCTACGTGAATGCCCTATAATACCTAGCATACACTAACGATTAGGATATGTTACAAGAACAAAAGGTGCAACTCTCCTATGAAATGGCACTAGCAGTTTTGATTTCACCAAACATCTATAACTTTAGTGAATTGTTGCAATAACCAGTATTAGTTAGCTTAAAAGAAAGTTCCCAATACAATTGGGTCTATCAATTGTTGGATATCTTTAATAGGGGAAGCGTGAGTGAATTGAAGAATTTCCAATGGAATGAGGAGAGAAAAGGAGTCATACCAAATTTCCTAATCCTGAATGAAAAGATTAGAATCATGGCATTTCTTGAATTGGCTTTCTCTTTGCCTAAAAATAACAGGGTTTGCACTTTTGAGGAATTGGCCTAGGTGTCAGAGTTACCCTTAAGTGACATCGAAAGATTAGTGATGAGGACAATCAGTAAAGGGTTGGTCAAAGGAAGAATTAATTAAGTATAAATATAGTATTAACGATGATAGGTAAAGTAAACAATCACAATTTCCTACGTTGTTCCAAGAGTATTGACTTTGGATAAAATTGAGATTATTAATAAGAAATTCGGAAATTGGGAGAAATCATTGAATGTCTTCCTTAAAGAAGTTGAGGATGTGAGGAAGACATTTAATTGACATATATCAATATATAAATTCAATTAATTATTTCACAATTATGTATTTTTGATAATATTAAGTTAATTATTTAGATGTATAAATATATATAAAAAATAGTTGAAATAGTCAGATTTTAAATTTAGGTTTAAGTGAAACCTTCTTTGTCATATATACACCAATATTCTCTTTATCATGTCCTGGAACTTATAATGAATAGCTTTTATTTCTCAAGGGTTGTTTGGTTATTAATTCGATTGAATAGTTTTGTTTCTTTTTTAGGGGAGTACATGTTTGGAGGGGATCACTGAGATTGTTTGAGACTTATTGCAGTTTTTCTTTGAGATCCTCATTTGTAACATTTAATTATTTTATTTTGTTTTAATTCTCTGAATGAATCATCTTAAGAACTGATACTTCTTATGCATAACTATCCAATTTCTTAGAGAGAAATCTTTCAAATTAGAACAATTGTGTATTGATTTTAGAGATTGCTTGATTTTAATCTAATTTTTGTGTGATTTCACGAATGACCCATGAGCACAATTATTTATACTCAATTAGGACAGATTCAATTAGATTTTCACAATGATAAGATTTTTTGGATAGACAATTTTATTGAGAACCACCACTTAAAAGTAGGAAATCACATATACTTGCAAGGTACTCTCAGGGGAGTAATCGATTATTCGGATTTACATGTTGCTCTGCAATTATTTGAGATACTGGAAATACTAGAAATAGCTGTTTTCATATTATTCGTTAAAATAATTAATAAAAATAAATGAGTACTAAATAGATTAAGGCCATGATTATTAAGAATTTTAAAATCAGTTTCAGAAATGGTGAACTTCTCCAAGACATATTGATTCCAATTTTTGTGGCTTGCATGTTGTCTCTAAAAGGTATTGCTATGATGTAGAATATAGAACAATTGAGTTCATTAAATTAGATCCTACCTATTTTGTATAGCTTTGCTGTCTTACCAACATCCAGATCCATCATGGTCCATTTGGTCGAGGAGAAGAGTAAAAAATACAAAGAATTACAAGGAGTAAGCTACAGTATATAAATCTATAGATAATGGGAATGAGTCAATCAGCATATAAAATTGGATGGCTCTTGACTGGGTATTTGAGAATGACTATAGCTCTGATGTTCTTCTTCCTCTTCCAAATCATTTTCAACTATGCAGTCTCCTTAGATTGGGAATTTTATTACATTAACTCATTTGCTTAATTAATGTGGCCCTACATAGTTTATGGATATGCTGTATACTCTCAATCATAAAATAGTCAATTAATCAATCTTTTCTGTTTGCTTCATTGATGAACGAGTCAAGAATTGCAGGTGAAGTGGCCACATTCTTTTGTGTTGGCTTCAGTTTTTTTATATTCTTGACGTTTATATAATATGCAGCTACGTAATATATTTTATAATATTATTAGGTCAATCTTATTTTATATTTTAGTAGGACTGCTGAGTCCACAATGTAACATCGGCTTTGAATACATAACTGCCTTATAAGTCGGAGTAAATAGGATTGGTGCTACTGTAGCGTGGTTTGACCCCATTTTGAAGTAGCCTATGAACATATTTCCAGTAATTCTTATAAATGAGACCTACGATTTATAAGCTTCAGGTTACCAATTAATAGTTACAATGCTCTTGTATTTCTTCTTGGCACTTTATTTTGATCAAGTAATCCCAAATGAGTATGGAATATCTCAACATCCATTATTCCTATTGGGAATGAAGTACAAAGAGAATTAAAAGAACGGAGAATGTCTCTTGTCTGAAAAATCAAAAGATGCTACTTCAGCTCAGTATTATGAGAACTTGCAAGAGCATATAGAGCCTTCCATCTATATAGACAACCTAACCAAGTCGTTTAACAACAAAGTAGTCGTTAGCAATCTCACCCTCAGACTCTATTAGAAATAAATCTTTTGTCTGCTTGGACATAACGGTGCTGGCAAGACTACAACGATCTCAATGTTGACTGGGTTGATAAATAAGAGCAAAGGAAGGATTGTGATGTATGACATGAATTTCGATACTCAATTAACTGAAATTAGAAAGCACATAGGGTTATGCATTCAATAGGATTGTTTATATGAATACTTAACAGTTAGGTATTTTCTACAATTTATATTTTAGAGAGCATTTGAGGTTCTTTGCCGAAATCAAGTAGTCCGAAATCAGGGAGATTGATGAGATCCTCGAAAAAACAGAATTGAAACATGAAATGAATCAAATAGTTAAGACTTTATCCAAAGGTAGTTAAAGGAAATTGAGTTTGGCCATTTCTTTAATCGGAAATTCTAAAATCATATTTTTGGATGAACCAACATCGGGAATGGATGCTTTTTCAAGGAGAGCGATTTGGAATATATTATAAAACATAAAATAAGAAGAGAGAACTATCATTTTAACTACTCATCACTTAGACGAGGCAGAAATATTAGCTGATAGGATAGGAATCATGTAGAGAGGTGAATTGTTGGCAGAAGGTTCATGTGATTTCATTAAGAAAACCTTTGGAGAGGGCTACACCTTAAATTTAAGAAAGGAATCAATTAAATATCAAGATGTCTCTGAAATTCTATCTTAAGGCAAGATCATACCAGAATCTTGTCATAAGTCTTAATTAACTTTTTAGATATCTTTTGAACACCAGGATAAACTAGAAACCATCTGTGAAAACTTAGAGAGTTAAGGAATAGAGATTGATTTGAGATTGAATACTTTAGAAGAAGCCTTTGTGAAAATTGGAGAACAAGAACAATTAGAATTAAGCAAGTCCAATTCCAAAAAATCCATGAGTTTGAATATCATTGAGAATGCTGAGGAAGGCTATTAATAATTCATCGAAAATGTACCAATAAGTGTCAGAGATAAACCAGTATTTAGCTTATGGAGTCAATGTTTGGCCATGTTCCAACGTCGATTCTATACCACCATTAGAACTAATACCAATATCTTAGCCTTTTTCATGCCCCTTCTAACTATTTTGTTGGGGTTATTAGTGGCCAAATTTGTTTAGTTCTCAGGTAGATTATCAAGGAATGACGAAGCTTAATTGTTTCTTAAAATTTCGATACTCTCCTGTGTGGGAGTGATAGGGTTCACGTTCAATTCTACTCTGTATGTGACCTTACCTGTACTGGAAAAAGAATGTTAATTAAAGGAGGTTATGATATGTTCAGGTTGTAGGATCCTAGGATACTGGCTGGGTACATTCCTATTTGATTTTATTGTGTACTCCATCATCATAATCTTCTTCTTAGTTATGGGGGCAATTTTGAGTTTGGAAGCTATTACATCCTTTTGGTGGCAAACAGTCCTTATTTATTTATGTTTTGGATTAAGCTATATCACATGCATCTACTTGTGTAGCTTTTTGTTTGATAATGTGGCAAAAGCAATGAAGCTCTTTGTGTTTTATTCTTTCTTTTACGGATTTTGTTTACCAATGGTCCTCTTGGGATTAACCAATTTTATATATCATGTGGACTCCATTGACTTCTTTTAATTTTTGGTTTATACATTTTAGGTTCTCTTTATGGTAATTAATTACATTAAATACATAGCTCGTCTATCCATTTTACAATTATTATTTTGCTTATGCTTGCATGCCTCGTTTGACCAAAGGACTTAAGGCTGAATTAGGAGGATTACATTTAATAACTTACGAAAGTTATTGGTATGTGATTATGCTCATTTACTAATTCTTTCAATATTCCTTACTCATCTACTATCTTGAAAGGAGAAAAATGAAGAGACATTACAAGTTGAATCCCGACAATACAGATGTCCATTTGGAAGATGATGTTTATTAGGAATAGTAAAGAGTTTTGAAGGGCACCGATGATATTATACAGGCTCAATCGATCTTTAAGAGATATTCAAATTAATAACAATTTGCCTTGAATAATATCTCCTTTGGGTTAAAGTAAGGAGAAATAATGGGAATTATAGGGCCAAATGGAGCTGGCAAGTCTACTTTGATAAATGTGTTAACCAACATAAATCAGAGTACTTATGGAATAGTAAAAATATAATATGCTGATTAATTACATGTGGGGATCTGCCCATAATATGACTGTATATGGGAAAACCTTACTGTGAAGGAACATTTGCATGTATTCAGTAAATTAAGAGGCTTATCTGGTGAGAATCAACAAGAGGCGGTTTAATATTTTTTGCAGAATGCAGAACTTTACAGTTTTAGGAACACCAGAGCTGGACAACTGAGTGGAGGAAACAAAAGAAAACTTTGTGTGGCTTTGGCTTTGATTGGAGGCAGTGACATTACTTTCTTTGATGAACCTACCACTGGTGTAGATCCCATTTCCAGGAGAACATTATTCAAAACCTTAAAATAAAATGTGTCCATAAGAAATTGTTCTGTTGTCATAACCACTCACACAATTGAGGAGGCTGAGAATTTGAGTGATACTCTTGGAATTTTGATCGGCGGGCAATTTATATGTTATGGCGAACCCAATTATTTAAAAGAGTATTTTTTCATATAATTCTATTAAGGAAATATTCAGATGGCTATTATATATCAATTTTGTATAGTGATTAATATTAAGATACAGAGATTTTAGATATGCTGAAACAATAGCTGAATAACATTAATTAAATAAAGGAGGTCAGAAGAAACTATTTAACAGTCAATATTAAAATTATTAGTTTTCATTCCACTTTTAAACTGCTTAACTAATTAAAATAGAAAAAAATAATTGAAGAGTTTTCAATATCAAAAAGGTATTTGTTAATAAGATTTTATAGTTCTCTTGAAAATATATTCGTCCTCTTTACAAAATAATAAAATGAAATCAATGATTAATTAGGAGTTTAGGTTGAATGAAATTTTATAATTCATTTATAAATTATTTAAATTGTTTGATTAACATGTAATTCATCAAAAATCTTCTTGGTTAATGTTAGGGTGGTAATGATTCAAAACAAGGAGACCCGATAGAAAAATAAAATAATCAGAAACATAATAAAAGGAATGAAGAAAATTATAATGATTAAGCCAATTCCGAAAGTGATGCGAAATCGGATGTCAAGACGAGTGGAAGTAAGAAAAATTCACGATCATCAAGGTAATTAGATCTACTGTATATATAGTGCTGAAAAATAAACACAATAATAATAAAATTATAACTAAAATTAAAGCCAGGATCAGGGTCAGGTTTTAAAAATCGAATCCGACAAATAATTTATTCAAAAATCAACTGAATCACAAAATTTACCTTCCTAATCATTATAACATATTTCAAAGATTGTAATGGAAGATTATCAAAAAGAACAAAATAAAGATAATTATATTAATCAAATTTATTCTTATAATCAAACTAATGAATAACTCAAATAAAATTTGAATCAAGCAAATCAAAACTTATGTAATTCTTAAAATCAAGATACTCAAAGTCTACATAATTCTTAAAATCAAGCATATTAAAATTTAAATTATTATAGAAATCAAACACAGTCTTAAATTAGATGTTAGAATAGTCCTAAAAGATCTATTCCCTATAATCAAAGGATGGATCCAAACTAAAATATCTATGCACAATAAATAAATGATTAATAATTTAATTAGCAAAACTTCTAAGGGCCATCCTTAAATACCATTTATTTTCCTTAGTTTGAAAATAAAAAAATTAAGATTTTGCACAACGCGAACCAAAATGCTAATTAAAATATTTACTAACCACCTACCTATCAAATGCAAGAATTCGAAAATGTTAACAATTACTACAAAATTAATAATAATAAGAATGAGTCCTAACTCTAGAGTCAAGTAAGATAAAGTAACTAAAGCTCCAATAATTAAAATTCTAATATATAAAATTCTAATTTTTACAATTGCTAAGAAAATTTATCATATGCATAAACTTAATTGGTAAAATGCTTTTATTGTAGCAAGGATGTTCATAAATAATATATCTAATTGAATTGTCAGCATTTCTTTTGTTCAGATTGTTTGAAAGAATTTTTGAAAAATCAATCAAAATAACCTAATTGTTATGCCTACAAATGTCTTTGCTCATGTGTAATCAAATTATAAGTATTGTTTAAAGAGAAAGAGAAAGATGGAGAAGTAACAATGTTAAAAGAAAAATTAATTAATAATTAGCTCAATGCACTTAGAAAAAATATAGAGCAAAAATATAAACTGAAAACTTGTTGCAACATATAACGTTGTTCATTTTTCGTAATACTTCAACAAAACTTAGATCAAAAATGTTTCTATTGTCCATAATGCTTAGAAAGATAGAGAGATTGAAGTTTAATAAAATTAGTGAAATATTTGATGAATATTATGATATCAAAATCCTAAATTTTATAATATCAAATCGTATAATTATTTAGCCTAAGGATCGTCATACTTCAAAGATGATAATATCTTCTCTAATCTGTCATCAAATTGTCCTTTTAGGAGAATAGTAATTTTGAGTATGATTCTTAACTTCATCAATATGATCTCAATGTTTTTATTTTTATCAAAATTCAACAAAAAGTCAAAAGCCTCAAACACCATTTTCGAAATATGCAAAGCATTTTGTCCACAATCCAACATCCTCAAAAGTACTTCTAAGAAATTTAACATTAATAATGGTTCTCTGGCCAATAGCAACTTATGTTTAGATTAGGAATAAATTAACAAGGGGAAATAAAAATGTTCTGTCAATTAATGAAATCTATTAATGTATGGGGAGACAATTTAAAGCCCTTCATAAGCTCTTTTAGTGTGTCCCCACCTTCTAGATTATGGAGCTGGTCTAATTTTAATAGCTGCTTATTCTTCAGTTTTGTATGTAGTGCTAATTTATTTAAAATAAAAAGAGTCATTTTAAGATTTTTCAAAATTGTTGTAATTCTCTAATTGATACTTTTTGGGATTAGATGAAAGTTCTATGGCTGATTCTCTAATAATCTTCAATATGTAGATTCTTTGCATGATTGAAATTTCCTCACTAAAATACACTTCGATTAAATGATCAGTTATTAAAGGTTGCATTATCGACAAAGCCACCAGAGCTTTAATCCTCATTTCTTCTTGACTGTTTTTCCAATCTCTATTTAGAATGAGAATGTCACACAGAGTTTATCCATGGATATGAAGATCTAAGCTATTTCTAATTAGATATGGAAGGTGTTTCAAAGCTTGTTCAATTCTGGATTAATCTTCACTTCTTAATGCAAGAATACAATCATAAAGATTCTTAACAAGAAGAGGTTGTTCATTTTCTTCATTCTCTATTTCAAAATCCTTAAATAAATATGATCTTAATTACATGAAAATCCTAGGCTGGCTAAATGATTTAAGTTTCATTTTCTTTCTAAATAATTTCTTCTTTTTTTTTTTCATTCCAAACTTCATCGACTTCATCATCATTCAGTTCATCAAAGCCATCTTCTACTTGAATATTTAATGATTTCACAAAAGCTTTCCATACTAAAATTCCGCATTTTCTAGGTATATTGGCTTATGAATTTAATCGCTTCTAAATCCCATCATGTATTAAATCATTATTAAATCCATCATTAATAAACAAAACAATAAGATGACTGCAATACAATTAGGTTTTAAATGATGCATGCTTAATAAAATTCTTGTTACTCCAATTAAGTATTAAACTATCAAACAAATCTTTATGGATAGTTGTTTCCTTAGAAATGTTGTACAATATTTATTCTGTATTTTGTTTAACCTTAGCATTTAAAGCCAGCTTTAACAATAATTATGGATTTTATTTGATAAGCGATAAATATTTTATGTATTCATCCAATTTATTAAGAAGAATATATTTCAAAAATTTCTTTAAATATAAAGGCTTAACTTAACTAATTTATTCTATCGTTAATCCTTGATGAATGAGTTCATATTCTCCTAAGACAAGTAATTTTTCATAAATAAAATCTTGTTATTATTAGAGCAATTTCTTATAAATTTCTTCAAATTTTATGTATTTACCTTCAGTGAAATTGGAACACAATCTACAGAGCTACAAATATTCAGTTAGTTTTTCTTAGCTTGAAATTTCAGGGATATTTTTAATATAGGATGTTTCAAAGAGATGATAAATTTTTTCAATTTAGGAGGTGTTTAATTTTCTGAATTTAAAAATGACATTCTTCCAGAATTTAAAGCCTTCCTCGGTTTGAGATATCTCTTAAATTTTGTTAGGAATATCATCATTTTCACCATTTAAAAATTATTTAATTTCTATAATCATAATTTATAATTTAATTTTATAATGGCAGCCATTTTTGTGCAATCACTTTTATCAAATAAATGACTGAAAAGGTATTGGGATATACTGAAATATTAAATGAATAATACAGATAGAGAAAAAGGCTCAAGAAGATTTATTAATTATTCAGATTGAATCTCTGCTCTTCCTTCTTTCAGTTGAGAATATAATAAAAAAGAGTAACGACTGCCTTAGTTTATAAGCCTCATAAGAAGAATATATAAATAGAATTTAAATAAGAAATTGATCAAGTTTATTGATTATTAGTTACAAAAATGATTGAGTCATTGATAATTTTAAGAAAGGTTAAAAAGATATTGCAAATTTTAAGAAAAACTCTAAGAAAAATTTCTATGACAAACTAAGATTTATTAATATTTTAGAAAATATCTCTTTGATTTACAATAGTTTTTAAAATCCTATAGATGAGTAATATGTCTACAACACCTTTATCAGGATAGTTTAAGCCTCCATCACCATATTAATTGATTAAGGATGAATAGGATGTTTTAAAAAGATAGAACCAAAATAATGATTTAGAGATAACTAAAAAATAAAATCTATTATGAAATCTTACTTAATATTGAAAGTTGAATTGATGGAAGGTTGCTAATGTATAATTTTTTTACTGACTTGAATAGTATTGTGATCATAAAAGCAATTAAATAGATGAATCGATTGTTCGAGTAAAAATAATGAAGAATTGAATATGTAGATAGTCAAACAATTATATAACCAAGTATTTTTGTTTGGTCATATTCATATTTATTTGATTTTATTGTGTTATCTATATAATGTTAAAATGAATGAAACAATTATTGTAACAAATTATAATAATTTGAATAATGTTATAAAATAACTATTATAAATGTAAACCAATTTATATTGATTAATTCACAATTTAGATTTTTTTAAATGAGCTGTACTATTAAGCAATAAATAATCTGCATTGTCTTTTTAATAGGATATCACATTAACACTGCAATAATCAGCATTATTTGATATAATTTATTTTTCCAACATATTTACTGCATGAACACCATAACCGTGAGTTACAACTAAGATGTTTTTATTTGAGAAATGCTCTCTCATACGTTTATAATTTTCTGAAAACCTCCCAAAAAATTCTTATATGGATTCAGGATATTTTTGAATTACCTCCTAGTAGGGCACATTCAGCAAAGGATATTATTTAAAGACATGCTCATAAGATGAGGATTTATAATAATGTAATTCTGACAAAATGTCCTTTTCAAACCAGTCCTGTCTAAAACATTCTCCTAATCCCTTTGCAATATATATTTCAATTTGTTGTTCTAACTAACTTGCAATTCCGATTATAGTTTAGACGCATCTCAAATAGGGTGATGTAACCAGAATGATATTCTCGATAGATTGCTTATAGTTATATGAATATGGTTACTAATTTCAAAATATTTCTGATATATTTTCCAGTCTTTTTGGCTTAGGCTTCTCCATTTAAAGATAAATGCGGATCAAATGGCAAAATGATTCGTTGCTTTTCAGCATTTGTACTATCATCTGCCCTTTCTCCATGCCGAATAAGAAAAAGCATTAATAATATTAATAATAATAGGTATGTTGTGAATAAATTTCAATGTATGATGATTTTTTCAAATATTTAATCAACATTATTTTATAATTCCTATGTATAGTTAACTTTCAATTAGTATTTTTCAATAAATTATTGAGGAGTTAATCCAATAAATAGAATAGCAAAGGATACTTACATTAAATTAATTAGCATATCAATTCCTAAATAATCAGCAGCCTTCCTTATCAACTACCTTTCGATGTTGTATATTTATAAGGATTTAATGAAATTTGATTCTATAGGATTAAGAAAGGAATCTAAATCAGTACTTGGAATTGGTTTTGGAATAACCGATGGGTTTTCTGGCAACATTTGAGTTAAAAACTGATCAATTTTGAGCAAGATGCCACTTTAAATTTCCATATCTATCACATCGTTTGTTTATTCACACTCTGAAAGGTAATTGGTAATAATTACCATAAACAAATCGAAAAAGCTCACTATATTTGAGAAATGCCTCGATGTTGATAGTAACAATTTAATTGTCAATGGTTCTTACTTGCATTTTAAAATAAATAAAAATATACAATTAAAGTCAATCATATAAGTTCAGCCATATATAGTTTAAAATCTTAAAATGAAATCTAATAATATAAATGTACAACATACATTCTTTTTTTATAATTTAACGAATTCTGCTTCGATTAGTTCTTCTTTTACATTGATTTATAATATTAGGCTTTAAATAGTTATGTGGCCTTTTCGATTTGACAATACTCTGAAAGTATCCTTAAGATTATCCTCTGTCAATAATGACTTCCGATCTGTTAATGCGAGAATGTATTCTTAGATTTCTATTTCACCATTTTCATCTTGATCGACATTTGAAAAGATTTCACTTACCACTTGGAAGGCATCTTCATAATTTTCATATAGTTTTTAGTATGCATTCATTAACTCGTATTTAGTGATCTTACCATCCTTATTGGCATCAATATCATTAAATGTTTAAAATAAACTGGATGATTATTCACTTAGATATTAATTAACCATATATTAGAGGATACAATATTGGAGCAAACTCATTTTTTTTAGTTTTCTCATATTCTGCAAGTCAACTTTGATTTTGTTTTCGAATCTCTTTTTTTGTTTGATCATCCAATTTGTTTTAGTTAAAGATAATAAATCCATTCTATTGGCTGGACTAACCACTAAAATATTTGACAAGAACTCTTTGGATTCAGACGATATCTTATCGAATTGTATAGATGACATGTCCAGAATGCCTCTTCTTACATCAGCATATATTTTTGGAACAGTTGCTCCTTTGAACGGTAGAAAACCTGTTAATAAAAAATGAGCAATAACACCGATGGACCAAACATCTCTTGGTTTTGCTTTGATGTCTTATTCTCTAAATCCCTCAGGTGATGTGTATAGGGCATTAGTGATCGTAATTGGTTCTTTTACGAAAATACTTTTAACATCTATTAATTTAATGGTATTTTAATCTTTTTGATCATTATATGCGAAACTGCTGAGTTACAGATTTCCATGAATCAATTTATGTTGATGCAAATAATGAATGACATCAATTATTTACTTAATTATGGTACCAGCAGTTTCCTCTAACATTCCAATTCCATCATTTTTCATATAAAGGATACCCCCTGTGTAATTTTCAAATATTATTTTATAAGTATCAATATCTTCATAGATATCGAATATTTTGATGAGATTGGGATGGTTCTATAAATCAAATTATCTAAAATACCAAATTATGAGTTAACAATTTATTGATGTATTCTGAATGTTCAGGAACTGATTTTGGCAAAGTTTCCACTATCCTAATTTTCCCATTCAGATTGTTCTACACAAAGGATTAATTCGCATTAACTTAACTTAGAATTAAAAATTACGGTTTTTGCTAGGGACTTTTTCGTAGATAACAGAATAATGTTAGGAAATTGCAACTTTATGTAATTTAAGCAGTTATTAAGGACAGTTAGATGAATGTGTTAATTTTTTTTGTGAGAAAGTTGATTTTTGAGGGATCGCCTTTGGTGAAACTGGAGCTGAAGCTGAAGGTATTTTTCTTCTTGATTTTGAGTTTTCATTTTTAGAATTATTAGTTTGATTTGATTTTGGAACTGCATGGCATGCTCCCATGAATTAATTATATAACTATTAATTTTAAATCAGAAAAAATTATATATTCAATTGTCTTTTGATTATTGTATCGAAATAAATCTTTTACATTATATATTTAATCCCGATGTGCATTTAGATTCAAAATCATGAAGTCTTGAGGTTGTTAACATCATTGATGTTAATAGTCTAATCAACGGAAAAGTTTCAGAATATTATTATTCAGTTAAGGAATTTTAATTGTTATTATAAAATTGAATTTGATTTTATTAAATTAAGTTTCCATGAAATAAAACTAAGAGATTGAATGATTAGCATTAAATTAAATTAGAGCATTTAATTAAAATATAGCTGATTATAAATTTAGTGTTACTTGAATTTTAAGAATTAGGAATGAGAAATATTAAAAAAATTGGTCTAGAGATATTAATTTAATTATCATTCTACTGATCAGCATTGAAATATAATATTTAATATTATTATAATAATTTATTTGATAGTTCATTTCCATATAAAGCGAAATCTCTAGCATGAATTATAAATCTATATCATTCTTGTATTATCATTATGAGGTTTCATTAAATTAATTAATCAAAAATGGGATCTTGTACATAGAAACTGAAATAAGCTAACAGAGAAATCAACCAAAAAATTAAAAAGAATAATGAAATCTCCATTCAGCTATCCAAGAATAAGTCAAATCAATCTCTAGAATATATTTATGAAAAAGGAAAAAAGAAAGTGGTTAAGTAAATTGATCAATCGATGAATATCCAAAATTTCATCCTGATTTAAACTTGCAAATTTTCAAAAGTGTACTCTTTTGTTTCTAATACCCAAAATGATGGTTTGGCTTAAGTTTTAGGTAAAGGATCAAAGGAAAATATATAAATAATGTAGAATAACCTGACTGGGAGGTTCAGATTAATGGAGACCCTCAGACTCTATGATTATAATACTAAATAATACATGGATAATCTTATTGCGAACCCTTTAGTAATTTTTAATATAAAGAATTATAGTCACATCCCAATATCTCTTAAACGCATGAGATTTATTAGGATGACGAATCAATTCATTTAATTCATGACTATTGCAGTGGAGGAGGCTTAAATGGCATAAATTTTAAACAGGGTTAAGGAATAGCTGAATAAATTGCTCTAAAAATGTTATTTCAGATGATAGAATGCTTGAATTATCTTCACACAAAGGGATTTAATCATGGTCATTTGACATACAACAGCTTCTCAAGAATAGATGAGTCGGAAAATTGCTTTATTAAACTTACAGACTTAAAACCAGTATTTATAAAACCATAAATAACATTCGAACAAATGCAGTATTTAGCTCCAGAAATAATCGATGATAACCAAGATTACTCATTAGCCAGAGATGTCTGGTCCATAGGAATCATATTTTTTAAACTATTAACTGGTAATTTACCATATGTATCCACTCAACCATACAAATTAAGATTAGAAATAAGGAAAGGAATAGTGTCATTTACTGATCTCTAATTTGATAAAATATCCTCAAAATCCAAATGTTTCTTAAACACACTACTCCAATATAATCCATCAGAAAGATCAGATCTTAATTCCATTATCAAATCTCCTATGTATAGAAGATTGATCTCTCAGACAAAAGAAATGAGCAAGTAATCTTCAAACATGTTGATGAATTTTAAACAAGCCAACATTATATAATCATTGTTTTTACAATTTTTAGTTAGTCAATTTTGTTAGAACTAATAAAATGAAATCTATTAATTGTTCAATAAATATGATAAAAACGGAGATGCTAAATTGAGCAAAATTGAAATATGTGATCTATTGTATTAGCAACTCAAATCAAAGGAATAAGCCTAAAAACAAGTAGAGTAAATATTTAAAGCCATTGACACAGATCACAATGGTTCCATCGATTGCCATGAGTTTATTAGGTGTATTGTAGATAGACAAGCATTGATCACTACTCCTAATTTAAAGGTGATTTTCAAATTACTCTCAAATGGTAAAGGATCAATTCGAAAAAAGAGATTTATGCAATGTTTTTCAGTTAATCAAAAATAAGCTGACGACATGTTTGCTTCAATCACTAAATCAAAGAGAATCACCTTCAAAGTGTTCTCCAGGACTATGATGGAACTTGTTTGATTGTTATAATAAATATTTTATACTTTCATTTATTAATTTAATTATATGGAAGAGCCTTTAATTTAGAATGAGGAAATAGAATCCAAGATTCCAAATGAAAAAGTTATGACAAGACTTATTAAAGGGGAATTTAGGTTTGAGAGAAGATAATACATATTTTTAAATGTAAATACTGTCAATTTAGTAATCTAAAGCATAAAGTAATTAGGTGTTAACCATTTATAATTTGATTGGTCCTATTAACATTGAAGCCTAGAAATCGTTGATATTTTATGAAGATACTAGAGTCCCATTAAATGATCAAGACTTTACCTTAATGAATTTATTGAATGCTTTAATAGTCGTTCATCTTTTGAGAATTTTCACTTGTTTGTTGGGTTTCTTTAGTGTTTCATAAGTAATGCATTCATTACAATAGAGTAGAAATCTGGTAAAATTATGACCTACTTTATGATTATGTCAACCGTTTGTGTTCTCTGTAGAGGAATTATATCCTTATTAATTGTGTTAAATTATACAGCAATAAAAGACACTTGTAATTTGATTTTTGGAGGTGGCACTGATGATATTGGATCATTGATGGCAATGTAATTTTTGGTTGTTTTGATACTATTTGTAATAGCAGAAATTTTGTTAGCCTTGATCTCATTAATACAATGTTCAAAAACTAAAGAGGAATATCGAAGTACTTCTAAATCTATGATTATCTAGTTTGGATTAAACACAAAGAGAGAATGATGAAGAACTATGAGTTGTGTTATGAAGTAGCAATTTGTTAATTAGATGAATGATTATTAGATATGTGTAAGATATGGTTTTAATATAATTTAAATCAATATATATACCAAGATGAATTTCTAACTTAATTGGTCGATTCGGCCTCTCCTTAATAATGTATTGAAAATTTAGATAATATTAAACAAGTGAAAAGCTTCAATAGTTTCTTCCACATAATAGAAGTTTAAATCTCGAATAACTGATTTTATAAGACAGACATAAGAGGCAGATAACCTTCTAATAAAGTTCAACTAATAAATCAATATAAAACTAATTTTATAGAAGGCAAAGACTTCATCATAATATTAATAGATTAAATTAACTGATAATTAGTTGCTGACTAGAGTGACTGAATTTCATTTAACGATATTAGCACTACAAAACTAATAAATTAGATATTGATTACATCTTGGAAATTGAATTAATAATTGAAAAATAAAAATATAGGCACCAGTGCAAAAGTCTTAAAGAAATTTAGACTAAATGAATTTCCTATTAAACAAAAAAACAAGTAGCCCTCTTATCAAGGATGCAAGAATTAATTAAATTGTAGATTTATTATACATATTAAAAAGAGTTTATTCGGACACTGATTTATATTCATATAGCTATATATATACTAATTTTAATAAATTAGTTACCAAATTTTACATATGGGATTGTGCTCATCCAATAAAAATTAAAAGCCCATCTAATAATCTCAGATGACAGCTTCTCAACCTGATCATAGTAATATAGTCTTACAATATTTATAGCCAATGTTAAGTAGTCAGAGACCCAACTGACAAAACCAACCAAAACTGGCATTCCTTCGATAATTGCATTCCCGATTCATAATTTTGTAAAGGAAGAACTGGATCCTCCAACTCCTTAAAGTTTCAGGCATAGTTTTCACATAATACCTGAAGTTTAGAAGTCGCTCGAATTTAAAACTGGATTTTTTAAAGCTTATTCTGTAATAACAAAAAATTGTAAAACTTAATAATAAACCATTAGAGGATGAAAATACACTTGTGTGTCAGCATAATAAAACTGCTGAATTAGTGTTAGTCTATTGCTTGGATCCAAACAACAATTTAGATTAGTAATTTATCAATTCAATAAAACAAAATTAAATTGTAATTAAAAATATTATTTTAGGATAATAATTGCATATGTTAATTTATTGAGATATTTAATGAAAATAAAACATTATACTTGGTATAAGAATATTGCAAAGGAAGCAAATTATCGAAATTGTTAAACTTAGAAAGGTCTAAAATACTATTCATAATGTCATAATTAATATAGATTCTCAACTAATTGGACACTCATCACTTATATCATGGACAATTATCTATTGATTCATTTTCCTTAGTTGATGAAAAAAGTTATTATGTTAAACTAACAGATATTAAGCCGATATATGCATAACATAGAACTTTAGAACCATCCAAAGATTTAGATGACTAAATTACATATAAGAGGTATTAGCCTCCTTAGGAACATTCATCCATAAAATCTGATGTATTTGCAATGGGCATTATATTTCATCAATTATTAACTGAGAAGTTGCCTGAAAAAATAAAAATAATTAACAATCAACCTGTTTGGAATCCCCTAACAAAATTGCAAGATGAGAATGATGAAAAAATGAAGAAATTATTAAAATCGATGATGCTATTAGACAATTCAAAGAGAATTTCAGTATAATAATTAGCTGAAAAGAAGTTCCTTAGTATACTTAATAATAAGGATCTGATTTAGGAATTTTTGGACAAGATTTCTAATTGTCCTTCTCTTAATTATTTCCAAAAAGTGATTTTAAATTTTATGATTTCAAAATTTTAAACTTAGGAATGCAAAATTATCAAACAATTATTTCAAATTTTAGATGAAAATAATGAAAACTTTTTACATGTAAACCAATTGGAATAAATTTGCAAAAATTCTAATGAGAATAAGGTGGAATTCAAAATTGATTCTAAAGCGGCTAATAATAAAAATGATCAATAAAAAAATGGAAAAAAGATCTCAGATAATGACTTTTTGATTGCCTTGAGCAATAGGGATAAATTATTAACAGAGGAGTATTTAGAAACTACATATAATTTACTTAAGAATTAAAATGGTTTATTGAGTGCAAAATCAATCAATAAAAAAATATATATTGATTAAAATTAATTAATCAATGAATTGGAGAAAATATCATTTAATGGATAGGTATTAATATTTTTTTATAATTTAGATAACAATCAATGAATTCAAGGATATTATGTAAATTTTGAAATGAATTACACTTTTTTATTTTATGTATATATTCTCAATAATATCTAAATATTTTTTCTCCTTGACTTAAAAAGCAGCAAAAACAGCTATAATTTAAGTGATTGTAATCAATGGGTCTTCCTAAGTTTACTCAAAAAGTGATTTTTTTGAAATCCATTTTCAATTAGATTTGATGAGCAGTGTTGATTAAAGTTAATATTCCGTGATTCTAAACAAATACTTGAAGAAAAAGGAGTTGTATCTTTTTTCAAAAGAAAACAATTAGTACTAAAATTAGATTAAACAAATTACAACTTAAAAAACGCAGACTTTAGTTTATTAGATAATAAATAAATAAATTCAATAATAATTATTCGTTATGGGTTCTTGTAACACCAAAAAAAAAGAAAAGAAACAATAATAGGTTGTTGTAACCACATAGGCATCTCAAGATAAACCTAGAATCGAGAGAAAATAATAAAAAATATAAACCATTACTCCAATTCTCGCTAAGACAAATTTGTCAGACACCATAAACGAGTCAGTTATTTCAAGTCGTTCGATAAATAAAGGTCACGAGAGACAGAAAAACCTAATTTAAGTAAGACCTGGACTTTTCAGAGTCTATACTTTATTGGGAAATAAGGCAGACTCTTTTTTGGAAAATTTAGAAGAAAGACAAATAAAAATAGTTTAACATAATGTTAGTGGAATTAAAAAGAGAGTTGAAACTATTGATAAATAGATTACTTGGGCAGAGGATTGTATATCACAAATCTAGAAAAACAGATTGGTATTTAAAAATTTAAATCTAGTAAAATGAATATATCTGTCCAATAACTAATATTTACGAAGACCCAGAGAAGTACTACCTGTTATCAGATTATTGTAGTGGTGGAAGTCTAAGTACCTTAAAGGGGAAACTAAAAGATAGTTAAGTAATGATCCTCTTAAATTAAATGGTATCTGCCATCTCTTATTTACATTCTAAAAGAATGGTTCATGGAAAATTGTCTTTGGATAGTTTCCATTTACTGAGTGATTTAAATAGTTTATTTTGTAAATTGGTTGATGTGGCCTGTTTATTTAATTGTAATCAGCAGGTTAAGATAGAGCCTTCATTAGAAGAATACTCTTAGGATGTTTATGCTTTGGGAGTGATTGGTTATCAATTATTGACTGGATAAATGCCTCTATACATAAATAGAAATAATGAATAAGAGAACAATGAAAACCAAAATGAAATTCTATATTTTAAGGAAGAGACCTCACCTTCTTTAAAAAGAATTTTGAAGAAGATGTTAGAAAAAAAACTGAATGAAAGAATCACTATGGATGAAGCAAAAAAATAATTGTCCAAAAATGAATAACGAAACAATTATTAGGAAGTTTTAATAAAACCATTATATGTTTTATCAAAATGTAAGCCAAGGAATTATTTTCATGTCATAATTCTGGCTTTTATGCTGAACAAATTCAATCAGGAGGAGGAGTGCATGCTATAGAAAATATTCAATGATGCAGATCTTGATTATGATGGGCTGTTGAAGAAAGATGATATTCTTAAATTATATAAATCGGTTGTTGAATATGAAAGCATTAATGTGGATATTTAGCAACTTTTCTAGAAATTAGCTATTACACATCAAGATTCAATAGATATAAATGAATTTATCTCAGCATCTTTAAATCTCGAAGACTTAATGTCATAAACATATTTAGAAACCTGCTTCAAATATTTATAGAATTAAAATGGATTTATAACTTGTAAAAGTGTCAAGAGGCATCTTGAAATCAATGACAAATTATTCATTTAAGCAATTGAAGAACTTAAAGGCCAACACAAGGTACATTATTAATAAATATATTATAGTTGAATTATTCCGAATTCTTAGAGATTATGAGATAACTGTTGTGATTCTAACAATTGATTTTAATAGAGTTTATATTTGTTATTATTACTCAATAAATAAGCTTGAAACAGGTTTTTTACAAATGCTCTGATAACGAGTATAAAAATTAAAATAATTAATTTTTAGAAGGGTAATTTCAGATGATTAATTCTTAAAATAAGAGGAGTCTGAAAGCCGAATTATATCAATTATATTCATAAGTTTATTAGACTTTTACGATTTCAGCTTCATTTTTAAAAAAAGAAATATCTTAAATGAGAATATTAAATAAATATGAAATAATCAAAGGTCTGATTGTTTACGTCTTTATGGAGAAAGTCTTCTTTACACAATAGGATTGAGTTATATTTTGAAAATTTCCTTTTTCCTTTCCAATTGAGCAATAGGGCTAAATTAAATGAGTTTATTACCGAGAAGCATCTCCATGAGATTTGTTATCTTGATAAACGGTATCAACTGATTCTAAATGCTACCTTTTGGCTGGATTTTATTATACACATCCCATTGAATTGGCTTGTTTAATTAAAAATAAATGAATGATAAATCTTTTTAATCATAACTATTATTAATTTAACAATGTGTTTATATTGAATATTTTTGGATTGAATGATTGAGAATATTTAATGAAATAATGTAATTCAGTAATATTTATACTGATATTTCATAAAATTAATATCTTAACATTAGGATGATGAGGCAAAAATTAGGTGTAGATTTAAATATGTATATAAGTAATAATTAAACGACTAGAAAGACAGAATAAAAAAAAATCTAATTAGGATAAATTCAACCATAATCATATTTCAATACTATTGGATATTTTGATTGTAATTATTTATTTATTTTACAATGAAAGAGATATCATATGGCAATAAGAATTAAAAAAGAATGATAGTGATGCATTTGAAAATTTAATTCATTTTTTAATAGCTTGTATGTTTTGAAGGAATTCTTTACATCTATTGATCAATACACTATTATTTGCTCCTAAGGAAGACTATGTTCTTTGATGATTAACTAGGTGTTGTTTACTTCTTTGATCTGAAATACCCTTTTACATTAAATATGTTTAATAGTTCATGCTCACAGCTAAAGAATAAAAAAAATGATTACTTTTTTAATGCATTGGCTGGGGTATGTTTGATTGCGTAGAAGTATTATGATCACCTAAGAAACTATTGTCCTTAGAAATTTTCTTACCATAATTAAAACTAGAATTATTTTTGTCAGGGGGAACATAGAATGATGTGCTCGTACCACTAGTAGGCATTTTGGTACTAATTCTCTTTTATGCAGCACACACATTATTGTTTATTTATTAGGGAATTTAAGATTTTAATTGATTTGAAGATGCCTAATTCATTGTAGTATAAACACTAACGGAAGGTGGCCTCTATTATTGTGTTGCAGTTTAAGGTTTTTGATTAGCTTAAGTCCAAGGAGAAATAATTTATTTTTTAGAAATGGAATTGTCTCTTTCCATTTTATTAATTGAAACGTCCGCTAGATTTTTTGATTTATAGTTTTCTTTGTTAATCTCTTTACCTAATTATCCACTAATAAATTCTTTGCTCATATTGACATTCTATTATGACTATTATTATCCTAAGTAATCCTTACTGCAATTCGATAAGTATTCCTTGAGATAGTTTTGTGAAACATGTTATGTGTTGGGATCTTGTTATTTTATAATATTTTGCTCATTAGTAAGTGTAGAATTAGAAGGAGCGTTAGGTTTTTTTGATGCCTATTAAAAACTTTAAGTTCTTTTCCTCTCTTATTAATTTTGTTCTATGTTTTTAAAGGAGTTCTCAAATTTATTTTCATATTTAGTTTCAAATTTATTCTCAAATTTAGTTTCATATTTCTTACTAATCTATAAATACAATGCCTCTCTATATTCTTTAATACTAAATTTCTTGTTATCATCCATGGAGATTATAATTGGATTTGTAGTACCTTCTTGATTATTGTGATGGAATGCACCAACGTAAGGATGTTTCAAGGCTTCTTCAACAGAAATTCTCTGGGAAGGGTTGAATGAAAGCAACCTACGAATTAAATCCAAAGCTTAAGGAGTTGCTTTAGGAAAGTAATTGGTAAATCCAATTCTTTAGCCTTTAGGAATGTTGTTTACAATTTGTGAAGCCATAGGTGCTTATACACTTTCTAATTCAGATGTGGTAGGTCTACCTATAACTTCGAGGACTCTCTCTATTTGATTGAGAGTAGAACTCCCAGGGAAAATAGGCTTTCCGTTGATCATTTCCCCTAAGATGCAGCCAACTGACCACATGTCAACAGCTTTAGTGTATTAGGTGGATCCAAGGAGAATTTCAGGAGCTCGGTACCATCGAGTTGCTACATATTCAGTCAGAATGGCACTTTCTTCGACTTGATTTAAAAGACTTCTAGCTAAACCAAAATCAGCCACCTTGACATTGCATTCTGCATCGAGTAACACATTTGATGGTTTAAGATCTCTATGTATGATTTCAGCAGAGTGAATGTATTTTAATGCTTTGAGTATTTAATAGATTATATATCTGAAATTAAAGTTTAAATACTTACCTCTAATGAATTTCTTCAAGAATTCCACCTCGTATCACAGCATGGAGGTCTGTTTCCATGAAATCGAAAACAATATACAGATCCTTATTATTATCAGCTCTATGAATATTGGTCATTCGAATAACATTGTCATGGGCCATCTCTTACAAAAACATGACTTCTCGAAAAGTGCGTTACGCATCAGTGGCATTATGAAATGCATCAAATACTTTTTTGAGCGCAACAATTTATTTTGTTTTTCGATCTATGGCTTTCCAAACCACTCCATATGCTCCTTTCCCCATTTTCTATAATACTTCGTACTTCTGAATGATGTGAGACTCAATTTCTTCGGTCATTTTAAAAATTAACTGTTAAAAATAATTATGAAGAAACATAAATCCAACATCAAGTACGAAGACAAAGATGAGAATCCTTTTTTATTGTTCAAAATGTAATAATCTATAAATCTTAAGGAAAATGTCAAAAAAACTATCAAAATCATTTCCAATATCCTTTTAATAATTAGGCATGAAATCTTGCCTCTAAATTATAATAGTAAATGAAAGATTATCTCTGTCTTACAATCTAATTTATTTAGAGATCGATGCAATTAAATCAATTTAAGATTATGAAAATTAAATATTGAATATGAATAACTTAAATTTACACATTCTACTTAATATGAATAATGAATCTAATAACTTATAATAAAACTTTATGCCTGTGATTATTAATTTAATCTTTAGTTTTTTAAGAGTATTATGAAGAAATTAGAATCTAAGGTAAATTAATTGTCATGATAGTGATAATTATGGAAATAAGTTAATTACAAGTTGATTTTTCGTTTATGTGAATTAAATATTAAATTAACTCTACAAGAGACAGTTATAATTCAAATCAAATTGTAATCTATTAATAGTTCAATAAGCTCTTTCTTTTATAAGGTTTGCAGAAATGAAATTCTTTGAATTTTTTGTTGTGTTACAAGATCTAAATTTAGAAAGAATATATCTAAATTAATTAATGATTGACTTTATGGCATTATTTAAATGAATTTGTAGTGTCGTTGAATAGTTGAATAATATTTATGAATTAATAATCAAAGCATAAGTCTCTCCCTCCCAAAAAAATAATACCTAAACACAATGAGTTCAAAGATATTGAGCATTGTCCATAAGCAATCAAGCAAATCATTAGTAATAGTAATGCTTCTCATACTAAAAATTTTCATAAATCTGCAGAAAAAGATCACTAACAACCACAAGAGAAGAAACATTTGCATTCTACTGTACAACAGTACAATCAAAATGTTGGCAAGATGTTTACGTCTACTAAGTATGGAGTCGCATATATGTAAAAAAAAGTCATGCATAATATTGATTAACTATGATTTATTTGATCTATATCATAATTTCTGTTCCTATACACAATCTGGTGTCTCATCTTTAAAGTAAGTTTACTATCAATTTTTCCATTATGATTTTTTTTAATTTAATTTGTTGGATACTCATTTGAGTAATATAACATTAAGTATTAGTCATTTTAATCTTAATTTTATTTATTCCCATTCGCTGAATTAATTACATATGTATTCAAGTGATTTTCCTCATATATCCTATAAGGAAATTAATACAAATATTTAATACTATTTTTTAGTACCATTAATATATGTCAACCAATCAATCTCATATTCGATCTTGGTAGCAAATACTATCAGACATTTCTTCATGCATGATCCAACTGTCTTTGGGCTATATTTGTGTTGAGCTGATGATGTCAATCAATTTACACTTTCTTAATCTACATACAACTAAAACCAATGTTGCAGCATTTGGAATTGCATGGATGATAATCACTATATTGTTACTTCCCTTTGGAATAGGTATCATAAATTACAATACTATCTAAGGTCTTAATCAAGCTTTGAACACCTTGGCGTCTTAAGCCATCGGAATGGGAAAAAATAAACTATCACTCATCTATCTAAATTTCACTCTTTCTTCTCATGTCATCATATTTATCCCTCTGCTCCTAATGATTTTATGCCTCAAAACTCCATTTAGCTATTTGATAGTAGAAGACAGAGAAGAAACCATAAACACAGCATGGTAATTGTTATAAATATATAAAATTTAGGGAACTCATAGTACCATTATCAATCACTTCATTGGCCTTATTGATATTTGAGGGTTTGAAGAGCTATTTGATATCATGTGAAGTGTTTAGACCGTTTATGGTTATTCATCTAATCACTTTAGCACTTCATGCTTTTTGGTGTTGGTTATTAGTTTCAAGCTACGGGATCTATGGAGTTTGTATTGCCACCTTAATATCAGAATGTACAAACATACTATTGTTATTGCTTTATGTAAAATAAGAAGAAGAACTTTAAATAAAATTTAAATCTTTTCAATTCAAATTTCTATTGCTATCTCATTTTCACATTTATAAAGAATACATTAAAAATACAATTTCAATAATAGTCCATATTTATTTAAACACAGGCATATTTATTATTTTGTCATTTACAGCCATCTCTCTTGGTATTGATGCAACCAATGCATAATTAGCCTTATCCAACACATCATCCTTATACTTCAGGGTGCCACTTTGCTTATCAATAGCCTTGATGACTTATGTAGGCAATCAAATTAGTCAATAAAACATAATGAATGCCAAAAATTATATTAAATATGGCCTTATATTATATTTCAGTATTCTAGTGGTCATCATGATGATCTTCTATTTTTACCACTTAGAATGGGCTCACTTCTATACAAAGGATCAAGTTGTTTAAGAAATGTTATTGAAAACTCTACCGTATTTCCTATTGGGTAGTGTGGCGATAGATGGAATACAGATAGCCTTAAGTGGAGCACTTAAAGGACTCGATGAGGGTAAGTTGGTTTCAAATTACACATTATTTGTTGCATATTTTGTGGGTATCCCACTAATTCTAATATTAACTTAAATATTCGATTTTGGTTTAATTGGGATTTGGTTAGGTTTTGGAATATGTAATTTTTTATTGTCCTTATTATTTGCTCTCAAATTATTGAAAATTGATTGGGATGTTTAAGCTAAACATATCAAAGAAAAAGTTGATAAGTAGTCTCAATAGATGGAAACAACGACCGAATTATAAGATTTATGTTGATGATAAATTTTATAAATATATGTGTATAATAATAAATTTTATAATATTTTGTATATGCTAAAATTCTCATACTTCAATCATTTCAAAGAAAATATTCGTAGCAGGATTCACAAATATTTTCACTAAAATAGTTTACAAAAGGCCAGTTGCTCCAGTTAAACTGAGTTAAACAGCCTTGAAAACTATTAAAAGTTTGATGGGGTCTGATACACAATGAGTGTTCAGGAATCCCATAATGAAATTAAGTCCCCACATATTAGACCTAGTGATATCTCCACCTGAATCGCTTGCTTCTAATGCCATGGAAATAAGGATGAAATATATTAACAATGTAGTTAAGCCTATAAATATTCCCCATCCTATCTATCTAACGACAAAGACCTTGTGTGGCATCAGGAACAGAATTACAAACATTTCAAAGTTGGATAATATGGCAGAGAACACACTGAATATAATTGATTGTAAAGGTTCTAAAGGAACTTAGAAGAAGATGTTAATGTAGCAGGTGTTTAAGATGGTCATGTATAATACACAGAATCTGATTGGACGAGGTAATCTTCTTTCAAATACTAAAAAGATGCATAACAATTTGTGGAATAGAGCCATAAACAATAGCACATTTGTAAGGGAGAACTTAAGTTGACAACCACTTTCTAAGAATTTTCTTCTTTTATAATCCCTATGCCATTCTTAAACAATTTGTTCTTTGATTTCATAAGGTGGCTCTGGTTCTTCTTTGAGATCATCCTCATCATTTGACACATCCAAATCATCTTATAGTTTCAAATTAGTTTTTCTTTTAACTCTCTTTCTCTTTTTTTTTGCCTAATTTCTATTTTATTTAGGTTCTATGATTTCAGACTAACCAGCCTCTTTGATGTCATTATCAAACGAATCTTCTTGGTTATTTTTAGCGGGTTGGTTCATTTCAGTCACTTTAATTGCACTTAGAGCGCAACCATCATCATCTTGAAGATTAGGCAATTCATTAGTATATATTTCAGGACAGTATGGTGGAGTACTACTACCCTTTACATGTATGACAGGGGATTCTTTCAATTCTGGATGAAGCCCATATTATTAACTCTCTCCCATATCACATTAAGGTGGTTTTTCTTCTTCTTCTTCTTCTTTTTACTATTATTCTTATTGATTTTATTATTCTTATTATTATTCTATATCTTACATTTAGAATTGTTACTCTAATTCCTAATTGAATTATTCTAGATCAGCTATGCTTAATGATTTTATGCATTATTATTAATCTGAGAAGATCTAGGATTGTTATTGTATTAATTATTATTATTGTTATTACTATAGTTATTGTTATTGCTATTATTTAATGGATGTATTTTTTTATTTTATATTTTCAATAGATAAAGAATAGTTAAAAAATTATGGTTCTAATGAATTGAAATATTAGGCTACTTCAGGTTCATCCTAACCATGATCATGCTTTTACTCCAGAATATTTTCAGGAACTTCATAAATACTTTCCATGTTATCACTGTTTTCACTATCTTCTTCATCATAAACCATTTAATTAGGATTTAGATCAGACTCATCAGAATCAGAATTATCAGTTAATTTGCTTTTATTTTGGACTTCAATATTTATTGGTTCTTTTGCTTCATTAATTTCTCTAATTTTCATTAATTCTTCTGGTTCAATATCAGGCTAGATCATAACTATATCTTCGGGAGCATTTTCTTTTAAAGGGAATTGTTGATTCTGAATGTCTTTTTTCTAGGGATGCAACTCAAAATTTTGTTCTTCATCTTCCTTTTGTTAATCCTATTGCAACCTTAATTATTCTTCATATTCTTTTTGAAGCTTTAATTCCATCTCCTTTTGTTTTTCCATTCTCAATTTGTGTCTTTCCACTCTTTTGAGTTAGTTTTCTTCAGCTTTTATTCTAATAAACTCTGATTCCACAAAATGAGGAGCTAGTAATTTCTATTCAGTATCTTCCTTATCCTTTTTGAATCCATATTGGACTGACAATACTAATGCAGTAGTCATAAAAGCCAAAGCATAGACGATGACTGATTTGTAGAAGGGGAAGTTTAGCAAGGCCAGTAAAGCCTCCACTGAAAAAGCTTTAGCGAATTTATCGAATGCTAGAGCATCAGCAATATCATCACCAACTGATGTAGGTGTTAGTTCTTCACATTAGCATGTGATCGTTATAGCTCCAGTTGCATCAACTATCTAAATAGATTTACATTTCCCTCCTCCTCCACTCCAGTTTCCATCTGCACTTTTTCCAATACAAAATATGGCTTAAGATTATGGTTCTTCATCTAACTCATATAAATCTTAATAATATTGCATGTTTCTTCTGCCATAAAGTCTTCTGAGCCTTCTTAATCTTGCTGCTTTTTTAGCTGCGGTGACTCCAAAGGACATAGGTATTGGTTATTTTGGAATAATGACTGATCCATTGGCTAATTTTGGTTCAATATTTTAGACAGATGCTGGTAATGATCGACTTGGGAATGAATCATCAGTTGCATAAGGATTATCAGTAAATTCAGCTTAATTGTATGTAACAGTTTAAATGTTAGTTTCATCAGATGATGCGGACTCATCATCATCGCTGATTTTGATATCTTTCTTTACTTTAGTGGGATCTGCTCCTGCCAAATATTCAGCCATCCTTGAAGGAGTAGCAATAGATGATTTCATGGAGAATGATCCACCTGAGAATACTTTAGGAGGTGCATTGGGATCAGCAGTCTATGTTAAACCAAATTTGACTGATTCTTGGACTTTGAACAATTTTGCATTATTCTCCTTCATTTTTTACCAAGCCTCATCAGTTGAATTGGTTGTTGTTGTGGTAGTAGTACTGGTTGAGACAATAGAATCAATTTAATTCTATCCAGCTGCCAAGAGTCCGTTTAATAACCCAGCTGTTCTCATGATGTCATTTTGAAGATTCTCTTTTATTCTAAACGATTTGAAGTCAGCATTGCCATTTTCAATATCTCCTTGGAGATTGCCTACTCCAGTGGTACTACTAGAAACAATACTATCTGCTTTATCTAATTCAGAATCCATATTTGCAGAATTCATATTTAATTGGATATCTTCATCATTCATCAATTCTTCAATGGATTTAGTGAGAGCACTCTTCGTAGCAACACTGACATCTTGAGATTGCAACTCTTTAAGTGATGCCAAAATACTTTATTTAAGTGTGACTAATTTAGCCTATTCTTGTGTGATAATAGCAGTTTCATTAGCATCTTGATCAGCAGTTGGATTATCAATCGTGATATCTTTAACACCAATAGCAAGAAGATTTAATAAATTAATTTATTCTGGAATTGTCAAAGTTGTTCTATTCTAATAAAGTTTTATAAGCTTATCTGTTGCATCTGTAATTTCTACTAATTATCTTGATCTGAAGAAATAGGGCAATGGGGAGAATTAGTCTTTTTATGATTCTCTCTTCTTCAAATATTCAGCGACCTAAATTTTATGTTTAAGATCAGCTAGATTCAATCCGACTACTACTGAAGATGTAAGGTTTGTTAATGCTCCCAAGGAATCTGATACTGATACCATTAGAATTAGGAAGGGTTGAGTTACAGCTGAATCCTTCAAAGGATTTGGTAGGATAGTAGATAATTCGTTGTCACTTGAGTAATCTAGTAAAAGAATCTGATTCAATAAACTTGCCCTCAAAACATCATTATTGTATTGGGTTGGCGAGTAATAGAATGTAAACTTATAAGTGAATGGAGTATCACTATCTTCACAATCAGTAACTTTCATGGTGAATTAGGTATCAAATGAAATACCGCTAATAGGGGAAATGCTCATTCTACAACTTCTAGGTGGTAGATTAATGCTAATAAGCAATGTTGTTGTCGAAGGCATGAAGAATTGGGGATTGTACACTGATGCTCTGAATCCCAATTAAGCAAGGTCATTTAATTCATAGAAGCTATCCCAGAACTTTATTGTTATTGATGTGAAGAAGAATCTCAGTGTAGCTACTACATTGAAATCATACACTATTGCACCGCCATAGTACAGACTATCTGGATTATTAGTGGGATATAAGAATTTAATGCTGATTTCTTAATTCATGTTGACCCTCTTTGATGTTAAATATTCAGGTCTCTTGAGTTCTAAAACTGGAATGTCTAATTCTACAATAACAATTACTGCCTAAGCGATTTCAAATAGTTCCCCTTTAGTTCCATTCAAGTAGAAGTTATAGGCATTATAAGGTACAAGTCTTTTTGCTGCCACAAGTTAAGTATTGGTTCTATTGAGTGGGATTTCCTCATCATAAACATTTGCACATGGTAAATTAGTATTGAGATTCACACATTTCCATACCAACGCAATTCCTACACTCTAATCAGTTTTAATATTGGGATCTTTAGCCCATCCATTTATATACAAAGGCACAGCATATCCATTCATTCTATTTCCTCCTTCAATTTCTACTTATAGCCCTTAAGTTTATATAGTGATATCGACTGTATAATTAGCTGAAATTGGTTTTGTTGTTAGAGTAGCTATCAATGTTATTGAATATGTGAATCCACCTCTACCTTAATAAGGAGGAATTTCAAATTAAACAAACTGAACATCAGAAGGCTTTGTACCTACAAGAGTTTGGATATCTTAGAGTAAATATGATTCCACATCTCCTTTCTTAACTTTATTTGACGTCCATTCATAGTTGATTTTGGAAGGTATAATTTCTGTAACTCCAGATATGCAACTTTAATGAATAATAGTACCTGTTAATTTGATTCTTGCATTTGTGAAATACACATGTGGAGCCAGTTCTTCAATTTAAACATATGGTGATTCATAGGTTGTAGTTGATAATGTATACTCTGAACTGAATTCTGTATTCAAGAAGTTAGTAAATGTGTATTTAAATACATATTTTGAATATTCTGATAAAAACATAGGTGGTATTTCAATCTTGTTGATCTTAGCAGAATTAGCAGCATCAAATAAACCTTGAATTCTTCCTCTGGCACTAGAATTTTCTGGTTCAATAGAGACTATTGACCATGATTTCATATTCAATCCTCGACCACCATCATTAAAGACTTAACTTGGGAAAAATGTGATCTTACTACATAAATTACTAAATTAAGGGCCTGTAAACTTCACAGAAGCAGGAGCAGGAGTATCTGGGCCATTAATTTTGGCAACTAGGATATTAGTATAGTATATTCCTAAACAATCCTTCCTTCCAATTACTGATTTCAAGTTCAAAGTAATAGTTGCTCCAATCAAGAATTAGGCATTATTTCCAAAGACAACTATCAACTACTTTTAATTGTTTGGATCCACATTACACAAAGGCTTTCCACTCCCCAATTTGGCAAATCCATCTTCATTAAACAATTTTTGACACACATCTCTGCTAGGGATAGTAGCATCATTAATTCCCTTAAATATAATTATTCCACCGAATATTATTGTCATGGACTCTAAGCTATCCCTCATTTTAATATAAGGTACTCCATACTCGCAAGTTCCACATTCAGCGTATCCATGTTGTCTTCTATCAATACCTGTTGCTGGACAATTACAGATCTAGAGTAAATTTGGGCCTTCTCTATTACCAGCACAAGTTAAACATCCCTATTTATTGCAAGTCACACATTATAAGTCACATTTCTAACATTTATCATTGACATCATCATCAAAGTACCCTGCATCACAAGTGCATTGTTCTGTAAGTATTCTATTCCCTCTACATTTCAAACAATTGGAACTTGAGCCAGAGCAGCTTGTACATTTAAAGTCACATTAAGGACAATTTGTGGATTTGCCATCTTCATACAGCCCATCTTAACACAAACACAACTTATATAGTGGATTATCTGGTAATAGTGCTGAGTATCTGTTTCCTTTGCAAGTTGTGCAATAGTTAGATTTAACTGCGCAAGTAGAACACGTAAAATCACATGTAGAACACATTTCCTTTTGATTCGATGAATCTTCATATTTACCAGCAGGACAGACACAATTTGAACCCACTCTATCTCCTTTGCATGTAACACACAAATCCTTTTTCTTTTGACAAGTTGCACACTACCAATCACATGGTTGACAAATTGGATTCTTGTTATCTTCATCATCAAAATATCCAGAAGGACATGAGCAAAATGGTGCATCCTGATTCCTATTAGCAGCACATTTCAAACAGTTGATGTATGCTTCATTACAAGTGGAACATTTATAGTAGCATAATAGGCATTCAGCAGTAGGAGAATCTATCATATATCCAGTCGGACAATCACATTAAGGAAGTGTCATTCTATTGCCTGGACAATTTCCAATGCAATTATTGCTTTGAGTTTGACAATTAAAGCATTAAACATCACATTCTTAGCATACTAAATTATCTGGATCTCCAAATTTATGATTTCCACAATTAGGAACACATTTTCCATTCAACAAATATGTCTAAATATTGGTGTTACTTTCTTTTTATGGACATGATAAACAACTTTCTTCTTTTTCATCTGAACATGTAAGACAGGACGAATGACAAGCTTGACATTGGAAAGTTGTTAAATTCAAAAATGATTTAAGGGGACATTTAATATAGCAAGTGTTTTGTTCTGGATAAAAATAGAGATCGGAAGGACAGGATGTGCATTAATTTGATTCTTTTCCAGAACAATTGAAGCAGAATTTATCACAATTAGAACAAACATTATTAGCCTTGAAAAATTCATCTGGGCAATCAGTCTAACAAGTGTCTTTATACAAATAGTATCCATCTTCACATGCCATACATTGAGTAGACTTAACACCATCACATTTAGAGCAACCCTAATAGCATTTTTCACACTTCTAATTAGATTCATTTGAAAAGTATCCAGAAGAACAATCTTTGACACATTTGTCATTAGGTGAAAGATAGGTCGTAGCATAGCAACTGTTACAATTTGTATCTAGTCCACCAAAGCAAGTCTTACAAGTTTCATTACAAGCCAAACAAATATTGCCATTTAGATCATCAGCATAGGCATATGATCCAGCTCTACAAGTTATTCTGCAAATTCCATCTTCCATATATCTAATTTAAGAGGCACTTGTTTTAGGATGGACAACTGTTCCACATTTAATACAATCCAAACTTGTGGAGCCTGAACAAGTCTTACAGGTCCAATCACAATTTGAACATTAAAATGAGTCTGAATTATTGTATTTACCATCTGGACATGTCTATTAACATTGTACATTTTTCAGAGCTTTATTGGAATCATAAGTCAAGTCAATGAAATAGGTTGATTCACATTAAATACATTTTGTAGATCCTAATAAATCTTCATCATAAACACAATTTGAACAATTAGAAACACACTTAACGCATATTTATTATGTTGAATGTTTAATCTATTTGTCTGGGCATGAGGTAACACAATAGGAATCTTCAACTCTTAAAGCAAAATCTGCGCAAGTTGAACAAACAGTTGAATTATCTTAGCAAATCTTACATAATCTATTGCAAACAATACATTGATTTTTGACAACGTAATATCCATCTTGACAACCAGACAAACATTATGAATTGGATAATATTAAATTATTACAAGATCTACAAGTTGTGGCTTAATCATTTAAACAAGTTGAACAGCTAGAGTCACAATTATCATACAAACAAACACCATTTTAAATATCAGGTTAATACAGTTCTCCACATTGTTATTCACAAGTCCAATCATAATCACTAGTATAAGAGTTGAATGAAAGTTTTAAGAAATAATCAGTTTTACAACTGGAACATTAATTATTTTCCGATCCTGTGCATGTGAAACAAGAATTATGACATTTTTAACAACTTTTCTAAGTAGCATCAAAGTAAAATCCTACAATACAATACACATAACACTATTCCTCCAATAAGAAGTACTTGGATGCATCACAAGAACTGCAAGTTGCATTATTTTCACATGTTAAACAATTATTCATACATTTCTCACAAGAGTTTGTGGTTTCATTCTAGAAGTACCCTTCAATGCAAGAGATCAAGCATTGAGAATTAAACAGGAACAGTTGATGACTACAAGTTAAACATTAGTTTGAGCTTGGACCATTGCAAGTTTTGCAAGATATATTGCATTAAGCGCATTAATCAACATTCAAATAATAACCATCTATACAAACATCACTACATACTCCTCCCATAAACATCAAAGTTTCAATACAAGTCAAGCAATCATCCTCCTCAGGTCCATCACATGTTAGACACGTAGAAGGACAAACTTTGCATTTATTGTAAATGGTGTCAGGGTAATAAGATGAATTACAACTTTCAATACATTTACCACTTTAATCACTTTCTTAGATTTTTTAAAGATATAATCCAACTGAACATGATGTACATTCCTAGATGTCACTACCTATGCAATGATTACAAGTATAATGACAAGAAGTACATACTTAATCTACCGCCACATATCCTTAATTGCAACTATCCAAACACTCTTTGCCTTGCTTAACTGAAGAAGCAGAACAAGAAGTACAATCGGTAGCATTAGGCCCATCGCATTCCTTACACTTTGAGTTACATGGTACACAAGAGGAGGTAACAGTATATAAGTATGTACCTTTTGAGCAAGTGGATACACAAGTTCCTAAATAAAGATAAAATCCAGTAAAGCAAGCTAGACAATTATTATTGAGATTTCCGTCACAAGCTCTACATGATGCATGGCACTATTCACAAATCATAAGTTAATTATTTCTAAAAGTTAAGGATGGGCATTTTAATACACAATTAAAAGAGAATGTATCTGATACAATATCACCATATAATTGCTAATCTGTTGTGCTTCCATCTTAATTCATTACTTATTGTTTTGGACATTAAGTGACACAAGTATTCTGAAACAAAAAGTAATTTTTTTGGTAATTGTTGATATTTGAGTTCATGCATGTTGTACAATTATCAGCTGATGAGTTTGTGCAACTTTTACAATTTGCAGAGCATAATACACAAGTTCTAGTAGTGATATCTCCATAATATTAGTAAGGACAGACAGTTAAACAAGGTGAATTAACATCTGAACTTAAAGGACTCATAAATCTATTTATTACACATAAAGTGCATTTGGCAGTGTCATCAACACACTAACTGCAAAATTGATGACAAGTATCGCAATTACTATTTAAACTATTTGGGAATGTTCCAGCTGGACATGTTTAATTACAAGAATAGTTAGAATAAAACAATCTTGGACTAGTTGTGGCTATACATGATTAACATTTGTCTGCTATTGTACCAAAACATGTCTTACAACCAGCATAACATGCTTAACATATTCTAGTTCCTTAATCTCCATAGAAGCCATCTGGACACGAAGTTTAGCATAATGAAGGAGTTCCGATTAAAAATGATTCTTAACTACATGATGTACAAGATGAAGAATTTGTACAAGTAGCACAAGTGGAAAGACATGCTTTACAAGTCTTTGTTACTGCATCAGCAAAATAACCATCTGGACAATATTGATTGCATGAATTTGAAAATAGGAAGGTTGTATTGCAACTTAGACAATTATCAATCTTTGCTCCAGAACATGTCAGACAACTTGGATCACATTATTTGCAACTTCTTGTTAAAGTATCTCCATACTAATTGCTTAGACAACTTGTTGTACACAATATTCCAGTGTAGAAAGTTTAGTCATTACATCTTTAACAAGAAATAGTATCATTACAAACTGCACAATTAGATATGCAAGATGTACATGTTGTTCCTGTTTTATAGGATCCAGTAGGACAGCTAATATAACATCCTTTATTATAAAACAAGTATCCAAAATCACAAGTGTTGCAATTTCCCATTCCAATTCCTGTGCAACTAGCGCATCCTTATGAACAAGTATCACATCTCATATTCACATTATCTAAAAAGGTACCTGCTGGACAAGTTGCAATACAGTTTCCCAAATAATTGAATCTTCCTCCTGAACAGATTATACAATCTGCTTATGTCGAACCTTTACATGTCTTACAGCCAGGATCACATAATCTACAAGCTCTAGCAGATACTGCTCCAAAATATCCTTCAGGACATTGAGCTAAACAATTATTTAGAGAATTTAGTGTATTTAAGAAGAATCCTTCATCACAGTATTAACAATCTAATGGGTTTATGCATTTTAAGCAACCATTTATACAATTTTCACATCTAAATGTGTCTGATTTTCCATAAAATCTATCTGGACATAAGGTTGTACATTTTTTAGTAGTAGCTAAGTAATAAATAGATTATCCGCATGATAAACAATTATTATCTAATGGGCCATCGCATGTTAAACAAGAAGTATTACATGGCTGACAAACTTTATTGACATCTCCATAATAGCTCGATGGACATAAAGCCATACATTAGTTAAGTAAAAAGAAATGAGTACTGGCACATTTAGTACATCTTTAAGCGGAAGTTGATGTACATGAAGTACAATTATCTGAACATTGATCACATCTATTTGTATTAGTATTTGCTACATAACCCGCATTTTCTCCACAACTTGCTAAACATTTTTTATTTAGCAAATATCTTCCAGCTGAGCAAGAAGTACAAGAGGTTTCTTAATCATCAATACAATCCTTACAAGTTGAATGACAACTAGCACAAATACCACCTGAAACAGTAGGAGTTTATGACGGTCTCTAATAGAATGTAGTCTGACATTCAGGCATGCATAAACCTTTCACTAATTGCCCTGTTGTATATTACAAATACATATTCGGGTAGCATTCTGTACATGCTGTTGCAGCATCCTAACATTGTCTGCAAGCTTTATCGCAAATGGAGCAAGTGAAATCAGTGTTCTTATAATATCCAGGTAAACATTAAATCAAACATTACCTTTGTTATTACAAATACAAGCTGCAAGTAGTGGATGTACATACATTATTCATAGAATCACTGGCAGTTTAAGCTATTGAAGGTAGACAAGAAGTACAACCAGTATCACCAGTTGAGATGCAAACTTTACAATTTGAAATTGGACATTTGATACATTGTTGATTATTGACATCCTAGAAGAATGAATCTCCACAAGTATTTGCACATATATTATTTCCTAATCCATCCCAATTCTATTTGTAGTAGAAACCAGTATTACATAAAGTACATTAATTGGAGGTTGTACAAGTTGAACAATTGGCCATACATTAGATGCAATCATCTCCAGAAGTATAAGTACCAGGTTTACAGATGCAAGTTGGAGGTTAAATTCTTGAGTTTATGCAAGCTAGACAATTCTTGGCAGATCCACTGCAAGTGATACAATATTTAGTATTACACTATTCACAATTCAATTATCCACCATCGAAAAATCCATATGGGCAAGTTGCACATTAGGGAGTGCCTTGTCTATTACCTGCACATTTTAAACATTGTGATAAGGACTGAGTACAAGTTGAGCATTTTACTGAACAAGCTTAACAAGTGCTAGTAATAACACCATTCTAAGTTTGATTTAATGTGAAGAAGCTATCCTAACAAGTTAAGCATCTGTTCAAGCCACTACAAGTCACACAAGATGAATCCATATTACTGCATGATAAGCATGTATTAGAAGTAGTTAAATAATAAGAATTACTAACACAAGTAATGCATTTTGTAGCAGTCTCACATGTACTGCAATTATTTGTACATTTAATGCAAGAAGTTCCTTCTAAATAATAACCTTATACACAAGTTGTACAACTATTTTATGCAGAACATTGATCACAAGGACTAGAACATAGTTTACATTTCTTTGAAGTATCAATATCAGAAGAATCAAAATAGTATTTATTAATACAAGATTTACAGACATCCTAATCACAAGTTTTACAAGGTAATGAACAACTGATGCATTGACTTAAGCTTAATTTATAGAGATCATTTTAACATTTTGTACAAATAGAACCAGAATTGCATTCAATACAAGGTGATGTGCATGCAACACATTCTGATCCATTATAATAATAACCAACCGAACATGTTTGACAAATTGTCAAACTTGTACATGTAACGCATTTAGGATCACACGATTTACAAGTATTATTTTCCAAATATGTACCTGTAGCACAACTTAAACATGTCGTTGCAGCACCTACGCAAGTGACACAAGAATTTTTATCACAATCCAAACAATTCTTTTATGTTTAATCATAATATTTTCCAGATAAGCATAATTTGCAAATATTTAGCGATTCACAAGTCCAGCAAGGTGAAACACATTTATTACAGCTATTGGCTTCATAATAATATAAATCTAAACAAGATGTGCATGAAGTTGCTGAATTAACACAAGAATTGCAAGGTGATAAACATGGTATGCATTTATTTTCGGTTGATAAAAACTACCTTATAGTACATGACATACAATAATCAGCTTAATTCTAACAAGTCTTACAATTACTGTTACAAATCAAGCATTGTGTACCAGATAAATAATAACCATCTGTGCAACTAGTACACTAAGATTCAGTTTGCTCACAAGAATAACAAGGATTTAAACAAGACAAACATTTAAAGTTTAAGTAGTATTGGTTGGTCTAGCATGCAATACATTAATCATTAATTATTTCATATCCAATATCGCATGAAGTACACTGAGTTGATGAATTACAATTATTACAATGATTTGAACAAAGAGAACAGTTTGTGTTTTCTAAATAATATCCAGTCTAACATAATGAACAAGAAGTATTTCCCCCTGCCAAGCAATTAATACAAGGCAATTAACAAGGTTAACAACTATCATTTTCTAAAAAGTATCCGCTATCGCAATTTGTGCAGACATTTAGAGCATTACACATATTACATGGAGCAATGCAAATTTTGCAAGTTGAAGAATCTAAATAGTACCCATTAGAGCAGGTTTGACAATTAGTCGAAATTCCTTAACATCTTGTACAAGTTGGGTCACAATCTTTACAAATTAAATCAATGCTATCGTAATATTATTACTCTGGACATGTACAATTTGAACAATCTATGATTTTATAGACATTACTAAATTACTTGAACATTTATTTAATTCGTCAACTTCATATCCGTTATCACAGCTCGTACAATCTCCACTTGTATCAGCACAAGTGACACAATGCTCGGAGCACTAAGTACAAGTTTACCCATTCAAGTAGTATCCAATATTACATGAGGTACATGAAGCAGGCATATCAGCACAAGTTTTACAGGAAGCCAAACATTCTTCACAATTAGCGCCAAAGTATCCAAGAGCACAAGCATGGCATATTACAGAGTTATCTAAGAAATCACATGTTGATTCGCATTTTGTAGGACAATCTAGGAAATAATTAAAACATATAAATTACGTTAGCATGTTGTTGTGTCAAGATAAAATGTTTCTTTACAACTTGAGCACTGAGAAACCTATTCCCCGTTGCACAAAGCACACTCTGGAGAACATTCTTAGCACACAGATCCATCGAAGTAATACCCATCAGTACAGCTTTAACATATTACGTTAGTTAAGCAACTTAAGCAAGGCTCCACGCATTGATGACAGATTTATGAATTCAAGTAGTAACCATAATGACATTTCGAGCATTGAGTATTTCCAGATTCTGAACATTCTTTGCAAGGAGGATCGCAAAGAGTACATTGGTGAGTTGAACTATCGTGATAATATTCAGGAACACAAGTTGAGCAAGCTGTCTCGGATTCACAATGATCACATGGGAATATGCAAAAAAAGCAGGAATTATTCATCAAATAGTATTTTTGTTAGCAAGATAGACAATGAGCGCCATCAATCTCACAAGTTTCACAAGGACTGTTGCATTGAGCGCAAGCATCACCTAATTAAAAGGACCCAGGAGAACATTATTTGCAAATACCATCCAAATAATAATTTTACTGGCAAGATGTACATGTAGTAGCATTAGTGCATAAATTACATCCATCAGGACAAGTTTCACATGAGCCTCCATCTAAGTAATACCCACCAGCGCAAGATTCACATTGAGTTTCAGAAGTACATATTTAACATCTATCATCACATTTTGTACAAGCTTGATTATCAAGCCAATATCCAGCATCACACACAGTACAATCGATCTCAGTATTGCACTCAATACACGGAGTAATGCATGGTTAGCATTCATTTCCTGAAAGGTATTTTCCTGGAGAACAACTAGAACAATTGGTGTCGTTGTCAAAGCACGAATTACAATTTGTTGAACAATTATAACATTTTCCAGTTAAGTAATATTGAGTGCTGGTGCAGGGTGTGCACCATCCGACCACCAGTTCATAATTGTCATCGCAAGAGGTGCATTCAGTATCAGAATCACATTAATTACAATGAGCTGAGCAATCTTTACAGGTTGTATTATCTAAATAATAGCCTATTTGACAATCGGAACAATTGGCGGGAGAAATATCACATAGTGTACAATTCAAATCGCACTGTTCGCAAATTAAATCATTAAGATAATATCCATTTTGACAGGATTAACAATCTGTATTTCCTTGAGTTGAACAGTTTACGCATGGCAAATCGCATTTGAAACAATCAGTACCGTCTAAATAATATCCAAGGACACATGATTGGCAGGTTGCTATGTCAGAACAATCTAAGCAAGGAGCGGTACATTTAGTACAAGTGGAGCCATTCAAATAGTGTGTAGGTGAACATGATTGGCAATTATTGGCTACACCATTACATAATGTACAAATTGGGTCACAATCTTTACAAATTAAATCAATGCTATCGTAATATTATTACTCTGGACATGTACAATTTGAACAATCTATGATTTTATAGACATTACTAAATTACTTGAACATTTATTTAATTCGTCAACTTCATATCCGTTATCACAGCTCGTACAATCTCCACTTGTATCAGCACAAGTGACACAATGCTCGGAGCACTAAGTACAAGTTTACCCATTCAAGTAGTATCCAATATTACATGAGGTACATGAAGCAGGCATATCAGCACAAGTTTTACAGGAAGCCAAACATTCTTCACAATTAGCGCCAAAGTATCCAAGAGCACAAGCATGGTCATATTACAGAGTTATTTAAGAAATCACATGTTGATTCGCATTTTGTAGGACAATCTAGGAAATAATTAAAACATATAAATTACGTTAGCATGTTGTTGTGTCAAGATAAAATGTTTCTTTACAACTTGAGCACTGAGAAACCTATTCCCCGTTGCACAAAGCACACTCTGGAGAACATTCTTAGCACACAGATCCATCGAAGTAATACCCATCAGTACAGCTTTAACATATTACGTTAGTTAAGCAACTTAAGCAAGGCTCCACGCATTGATGACAGATTTATGAATTCAAGTAGTAACCATAATGACATTTCGAGCATTGAGTATTTCCAGATTCTGAACATTCTTTGCAAGGAGGATCGCAAAGAGTACATTGGTGAGTTGAACTATCGTGATAATATTCAGGAACACAAGTTGAGCAAGCTGTCTCGGATTCACAATGATCACATGGGAATATGCAAGGAGAGCAGGAATTATTCATCAAATAGTATTTTTGTTAGCAAGATAGACAATGAGCGCCATCAATCTCACAAGTTTCACAAGGACTGTTGCATTGAGCGCAAGCATCACCTAATTAAAAGGACCCAGGAGAACATTATTTGCAAATACCATCCAAATAATAATTTTACTGGCAAGATGTACATGTAGTAGCATTAGTGCATAAATTACATCCATCAGGACAAGTTTCACATGAGCCTCCATCTAAGTAATACCCACCAGCGCAAGATTCACATTGAGTTTCAGAAGTACATATTTAACATCTATCATCACATTTTGTACAAGCTTGATTATCAAGCCAATATCCAGCATCACACACAGTACAATCGATCTCAGTATTGCACTCAATACACGGAGTAATGCATGGTTAGCATTCATTTCCTGAAAGGTATTTTCCTGGAGAACAACTAGAACAATTGGTGTCGTTGTCAAAGCACGAATTACAATTTGTTGAACAATTATAACATTTTCCAGTTAAGTAATATTGAGTGCTGGTGCAGGGTGTGCACCATCCGACCACCAGTTCATAATTGTCATCGCAAGAGGTGCATTCAGTATCAGAATCACATTAATTACAATGAGCTGAGCAATCTTTACAGGTTGTATTATCTAAATAATAGCCTATTTGACAATCGGAACAATTGGCGGGAGAAATATCACATAGTGTACAATTCAAATCGCACTGTTCGCAAATTAAATCATTAAGATAATATCCATTTTGACAGGATTAACAATCTGTATTTCCTTGAGTTGAACAGTTTACGCATGGCAAATCGCATTTGAAACAATCAGTACCGTCTAAATAATATCCAAGGACACATGATTGGCAGGTTGCTATGTCAGAACAATCTAAGCAAGGAGCGGTACATTTAGTACAAGTGGAGCCATTCAAATAGTGTGTAGGTGAACATGATTGGCAATTATTGGCTACACCATTACATAATGTACAAATTGGGTCACAATCTTTACAAATTAAATCAATGCTATCGTAATATTATTACTCTGGACATGTACAATTTGAACAATCTATGATTTTATAGACATTACTAAATTACTTGAACATTTATTTAATTCGTCAACTTCATATCCGTTATCACAGCTCGTACAATCTCCACTTGTATCAGCACAAGTGACACAATGCTCGGAGCACTAAGTACAAGTTTACCCATTCAAGTAGTATCCAATATTACATGAGGTACATGAAGCAGGCATATCAGCACAAGTTTTACAGGAAGCCAAACATTCTTCACAATTAGCGCCAAAGTATCCAAGAGCACAAGCATGGCATATTACAGAGTTATCTAAGAAATCACATGTTGATTCGCATTTTGTAGGACAATCTAGGAAATAATTAAAACATATAAATTACGTTAGCATGTTGTTGTGTCAAGATAAAATGTTTCTTTACAACTTGAGCACTGAGAAACCTATTCCCCGTTGCACAAAGCACACTCTGGAGAACATTCTTAGCACACAGATCCATCGAAGTAATACCCATCAGTACAGCTTTAACATATTACGTTAGTTAAGCAACTTAAGCAAGGCTCCACGCATTGATGACAGATTTATGAATTCAAGTAGTAACCATAATGACATTTCGAGCATTGAGTATTTCCAGATTCTGAACATTCTTTGCAAGGAGGATCGCAAAGAGTACATTGGTGAGTTGAACTATCGTGATAATATTCAGGAACACAAGTTGAGCAAGCTGTCTCGGATTCACAATGATCACATGGGAATATGCAAGGAGAGCAGGAATTATTCATCAAATAGTATTTTTTGTTAGCAAGATAGACAATGAGCGCCATCAATCTCACAAGTTTCACAAGGACTGTTGCATTGAGCGCAAGCATCACCTAATTAAAAGGACCCAGGAGAACATTATTTGCAAATACCATCCAAATAATAATTTTACTGGCAAGATGTACATGTAGTAGCATTAGTGCATAAATTACATCCATCAGGACAAGTTTCACATGAGCCTCCATCTAAGTAATACCCACCAGCGCAAGATTCACATTGAGTTTCAGAAGTACATATTTAACATCTATCATCACATTTTGTACAAGCTTGATTATCAAGCCAATATCCAGCATCACACACAGTACAATCGATCTCAGTATTGCACTCAATACACGGAGTAATGCATGGTTAGCATTCATTTCCTGAAAGGTATTTTCCTGGAGAACAACTAGAACAATTGGTGTCGTTGTCAAAGCACGAATTACAATTTGTTGAACAATTATAACATTTTCCAGTTAAGTAATATTGAGTGCTGGTGCAGGGTGTGCACCATCCGACCACCAGTTCATAATTGTCATCGCAAGAGGTGCATTCAGTATCAGAATCACATTAATTACAATGAGCTGAGCAATCTTTACAGGTTGTATTATCTAAATAATAGCCCTATTTGACAATCGGAACAATTGGCGGGAGAAATATCACATAGTGTACAATTCAAATCGCACTGTTCGCAAATTAAATCATTAAGATAATATCCATTTTGACAGGATTAACAATCTGTATTTCCTTGAGTTGAACAGTTTACGCATGGCAAATCGCATTTGAAACAATCAGTACCGTCTAAATAATATCCAAGGACACATGATTGGCAGGTTGCTATGTCAGAACAATCTAAGCAAGGAGCGGTACATTTAGTACAAGTGGAGCCATTCAAATAGTGTGTAGGTGAACATGATTGGCAATTATTGGCTACACCATTACATAATGTACAAATTGGGTCACAATCTTTACAAATTAAATCAATGCTATCGTAATATTATTACTCTGGACATGTACAATTTGAACAATCTATGATTTTATAGACATTACTAAATTACTTGAACATTTATTTAATTCGTCAACTTCATATCCGTTATCACAGCTCGTACAATCTCCACTTGTATCAGCACAAGTGACACAATGCTCGGAGCACTAAGTACAAGTTTACCCATTTCAGTAGTATCCAATATTACATGAGGTACATGAAGCAGGCATATCAGCACAAGTTTTACATGAAGCCAAACATTCTTCACAATTAGCGCCAAAGTATCCAAGAGCACAAGCATGGCATATTACAGAGTTATCTAAGAAATCACATGTTGATTCGCATTTTGTAGGACAATCTAGGAAATAATTAAAACATATAAATTACGTTAGCATGTTGTTGTGTCAAGATAAAATGTTTCTTTACAACTTGAGCACTGAGAAACCTATTCCCCGTTGCACAAAGCACACTCTGGAGAACATTCTTAGCACACAGATCCATCGAAGTAATACCCATCAGTACAGCTTTAACATATTACGTTAGTTAAGCAACTTAAGCAAGGCTCCACGCATTGATGACAGATTTATGAATTCAAGTAGTAACCATAATGACATTTCGAGCATTGAGTATTTCCAGATTCTGAACATTCTTTGCAAGGAGGATCGCAAAGAGTACATTGGTGAGTTGAACTATCGTGATAATATTCAGGAACACAAGTTGAGCAAGCTGTCTCGGATTCACAATGATCACATGGTAATATGCAAGGAGAGCAGGAATTATTCATCAAATAGTATTTTTGTTAGCAAGATAGACAATGAGCGCCATCAATCTCACAAGTTTCACAAGGACTGTTGCATTGAGCGCAAGCATCACCTAATTAAAAGGACCCAGGAGAACATTATTTGCAAATACCATCCAAATAATAATTTTACTGGCAAGATGTACATGTAGTAGCATTAGTGCATAAATTACATCCATCAGGACAAGTTTCACATGAGCCTCCATCTAAGTAATACCCACCAGCGCAAGATTCACATTGAGTTTCAGAAGTACATATTTAACATCTATCATCACATTTTGTACAAGCTTGATTATCAAGCCAATATCCAGCATCACACACAGTACAATCGATCTCAGTATTGCACTCAATACACGGAGTAATGCATGGTTAGCATTCATTTCCTGAAAGGTATTTTCCTGGAGAACAACTAGAACAATTGGTGTCGTTGTCAAAGCACGAATTACAATTTGTTGAACAATTATAACATTTTCCAGTTAAGTAATATTGAGTGCTGGTGCAGGGTGTGCACCATCCGACCACCAGTTCATAATTGTCATCGCAAGAGGTGCATTCAGTATCAGAATCACATTAATTACAATGAGCTGAGCAATCTTTACAGGTTGTATTATCTAAATAATAGCCTATTTGACAATCGGAACAATTGGCGGGAGAAATATCACATAGTGTACAATTCAAATCGCACTGTTCGCAAATTAAATCATTAAGATAATATCCATTTTGACAGGATTAGCAATTACAGATTTCATCAGATTCTAAACACATTTAATTAACTATTTTTCAATTTAATTTTTACCACAGCAAATATTGCTTACCAAACTATAACCTTCTTAGCACTAAGTACAAGTATTAACATCACTTTTACAATCAATGCAATTAGATACGCAGGCTATTAAGTAGTATACGTTATTACATTAACATTAGCTTTCTTCTAAAGTGTACCCTTCAATACACTCTATACAATTGATGTTTTCGTTGTCGCATTAACCACATTTTTCAAGTGAGCAAGGGGGAGAGCATATTACCTTCTTAATTGTTTACATGAAAATAAACATAAAAAGTAGATTGCTTTTCATAAATATTAAATTTATTAATGAGTTTTATTACATAACTTATTTACTTATAAATCAAAAGGTTATCAGCTTCATTTTAATATGGTATCTTTTTCATTTCATTTATTTAAATGTTTTTATGTCACCACCACTCACCAAATTATCAATTAGAACGATAATTAGTCTAGATATTCTATAATTTGAGAATATAAATAAATAATATATATTTTGACATCCTTCTTGATATTAAAGAAAATGAAAGAATATCCTAAAATATATTCTTCTTCACTCTAGAACATCTAAAATAAATATTTTAGATTCATATTTAATTATCAATTATGTTAAAAATTTTAATTGATTCTACAATGTTTTTTTTTTTTCTATACATGCTTTTTAAATAAACCACAATTCTTCTGAACCAAAAAAGCCCTTAAATTTTAAAATTCTGAAACTTAAATCCTTTTTAGAAAATATATATTCTAATGTGTTAAACATTCACTCAATTAGTGATTATTTTCTTGATGCTTAAAATATTGATAGAGGATAAATTATACCTTATTTTGTTATTAACTACAATGTGGTTCTTTACTCATAAAAGAGTAATGCTTCTAATTAATATATCAGAGTCTACTTCAGCATTTTTTTTTTACTCAAAATTCTCTAAGATTAAATGAGGTGCTCTTTTAAACTATTAAATTAAAAAAATTAATTGTATTGATGTTAGATATAAATTATATAATTAAAATTATTTTTCGTATTGCATCATCATCTCAACAATCTAAATTTAAATAACATAATTTAAATTTCTATTTTGTTAAACTATGGTTAGTTATTGTTCTTAAATAAGAAAATAATTAATATCAAAATATAGACAATAAAGGATATAACTTTTAATTGAATCCTTTTCTATTCTTTTTATTAATAATAATTATTTATTTTTGGTCGAATTTTATTCAAATTTTCATGGGTAATATACAAATGCACTAGTAAAGATTTACATGAAATCATATAATAGAAGATCAGCTTTTACTTATTTATGACGAAGTGCTTAATGAGATTCCAAGTAATGAATAAATAAACTCTTTGAAATGTCATATAGAAAAAAAACAAAATGATTTGTTTAAGAACTAATTAAGTAGTAAAAGATTTCTTGAGCTGGCTAATCAATGTTGAATTCTTTAATATTATTTTCAAATTGGTATTTTTAGGCTTCTAATTATTTAATTTTTTAAGTTTAGAATATTTTATTTAATGATTGTTATGAATTTTTGAAATATTATAATCTATTGATTTTGATTTTGATTTTATATATGATTTTACATAATAAGGAATTATTTATTTTATCTTAAACACCCTCCAGCTATTAATCATCCAATATCAAGAATTTCATAAACTGATTTGCAGTGTTAATTTGAAGTCTAAGAATCTGTTTAGCAAGTTTATGTTTGAGTTTCTGCACTCAACTTATCTTGATGTCCTTTTATTGATCCATTATTTTTCATTATAATTTCCGTATTCTTGTATTCATAAATTATTGAAAACTATTTTATTGAATTTATTTAAGTCTAGAATTTATATGCATCACTCAAGAGTTCTTCTATTAATTGTAAGCCTCCATTCATATGCAATATAACTGAGCAAGTCTGGAAAATATAAATCTGTAATCTCCTTGATTGAAATTATTTACTAAAACCTACTGTCATTCCACCGAAATGAGTTGATTACTATCGATTGTAGTAATATAGAGCTTTACTGAACTATTCGTTTCTCGCCTCCTTTAAACTAATAAAATGTGGGTAAATTTTAATAGCTTTGTATGTATTTTCGTTTATCAAAATGAAATTCCATTACAATATTTGTATACATTATCCGTCCTGTGTTAGGAGTTTATTCAAAATATCCTAATTATCATCCTTAATTCCCTACATATTCATTCTGAGAGTTTTCCCATCATTCTTTTAATAAATATGGGCTCTATAGGAGGAAACACTTTTATAAATTCCAGATCCATATCTATCACAGTAGATGGTTCCTTAATCTTGTTCATCTTAAACCTCTTCTTCAATATTTGATCTGCTTTTTTAATTCATGGCCAGTCTTAAGCTTTGGAGCTCCTAACTAAGTTAGTTCATCTCTTCATGCATCTAAGGCTTTTAATTCTATTGGGGCGTGCTGAGTATCCGACTTTTCCATTTTTCGTACTATCCTTTTTATAAGTTTAAATCCTTTTGATATTTCTTAGTAGCCGTCTAAACTTTTATTTTCTCTTTTCTATTTAGGATAGTATAGGTATTTCGTATATGAAATATACCAATATGGTTGAATTTTCTCTCCTCTCTCCACTTTATTATTATTCATCGACTGTGCTTCTTTCGTTTCTTCTTCCTGAGTCTCTGCAGCTATATTCTTATGAGTGATTCCTTTTTTTAAGTCTGTTGCCTCAATTCCAAGTTGTTGGGCTATCTAGTTGAACATATTATAAAACTTCTTTCATTCGCATTCTATTATTCTTTAGTCCTTGCTGGTTTTGACCTTTTATTCCTCTCTTCTTTCTTTCCTCTATCATTGCAATCTTTTCAGAATTTCGTCTGATTTGTTCTTCAGTTTCCTTTATTGTATTGCTATTGGCTAATGTCTAATCTCCAATCATTTCATGGCACCTGCTAATTCATTAGTTTAACTAAGCAAATTAATGATTATCGGCCCATAGTCTCCAACAGAATGTTACATCATTAGAGACAAATTTCTGTCGCCGTCAACTGTGCAACCAAATTTTTGACAAATGTTGATTCTTATTCTAATTTGTTCATAAAAATATAAATCATTCAATCTTCATTTTGATGCTTTCACTTTGTTAATCCATTTTTCCTATTTGTCATTTTCCTTTGAAAATACTTCTTCAATGAATGCATTAAGGATTTCGAGGTTTTCATTCCAATGTAGAATTAAGATTTCAAATTAAAAAGCGATTATTCTTTTAATATAGGACCCAAACTATTTGGTAAATTATTGCTTCTCATGAAATTATTTAAATTCTATCATCTTTTTCGTTATTTCTCGAATTTCGTAATTATTGATTGTTCTAAGGCAGTTTTTGTTTTAGATTAATATTTTAAGATATGATTTTCTAATTTTTTAGAATATCGATTAGTTTTTGTTAACGATAATTGTTTAGATGCTGTGTTTTAACTTGACTTCATTTCATAGAATAAGTTTTTATGAATTAAGTATTTCTTCTAAATTTCATTGTAATACTAATAAAGAAATTATCAGCTAATCAGAAAGTTCATTAATCGATTTTTTTGAATTAATAGAAAGGAAAGTTTTCAAATTCTATTCTATAGTATAAAGAGTGAAAATTAGTCAATTTATTAGCAATCAAATCAACTGGTTCTTGAAAGATGATTGCAATGATATTATGAAACTTAATGAAAAGTTGTTTATTAATTCTTATTACCGAAATATTAAATTTTAAATTTTGATTTATAATGAATTAGCAAATCGATGAGGCGCAACTACATCAAGATATGTCCTAAATTTCACAAATCACACAAGCTCTTACATAGGCCAATACTTTGGCACAAACAATTTAAGAAGAAAATATTAAAATGCTCTAATTATGGTAACCAAAATCTACAGCAGTTCTCATATTATCTCTTTCTATACAAATTTATCTTTTATTAATTTATATTACCCAAAC